TTCTGGGGATAAATGCCGCTCGTACACGCACGGAGCTCCTTGTCGGTTCGCTGCTGGATGAGTGCCACGAAAAATTGGAGTTTCCTCCTCGCAGATTCTGCCTGCGAGGCAGCAGACGCCACGGTAGATGGGGTCATGGAGACGAGGAGCTCTGCTGATAATAAGAAAATGCGAGAGGCTCGTTACAACGCGGCTCACGCGTAGTAGCAAAAGCCTCCGGAGGGATGCGCAACGAGCTGGGCGGCTGGTATAATAATGCTGCTGCGACGTTCTAAATGTGTTGTGCGCTCTCTCGCTCTCTTTCTCTCGCTCTCGCGCGCTACGGCCATACATCGTGGAGCCGATGGAGGCTGTGGCAGACGTGGGCAGGGGAGAGACCCCTTGCGGGTTTATGCTTTTTTGACGGATGATGAGACGGTGCGTTGTTAGGAAGTGTTGACCGATCACCAGTTGCACCATCGTTTTTTATTTATTTTTTAGGAAGCAACTGGAGCTATGTAGTTTTAAATGTAAATGTAAAACTGATATGTTTATAACTGCTTTTTGTGTTTAGCTTGTTCTCCATCCCCCACACCTCCTATGCATACAGTTGTCTGAGTACAGTGCAAAATAAGATAAACATACATACAAACATACAAACACCGTTTACCATCGCCATCGCCCCATCTTCATCACCAAGGTGATGGATGTCGTCATGAGTTCACTGCTCTCATCACCGCCGTCATCGTCACCACCGCCGGCCATCTTCACCACACTATTGTCGTCAATCACGATCTATCCAGTGCTGGATGAAATCCTCTCCAAGCCATCTCTCATGGTCCAGTGAGGTAACAATCCGCTTAGCACCGGCACGTGAGCCGATTTCATCGCTCCATCTCCACGCTGGGCGCACTCCCAGATGAGTTCCCTTCTTTGGCTGCCGCTCCATCGTTCGACTTAACCAACGGACATCGCCACTGCTTCTCGTCAGACATCCTGCCCAAGCCCATCAAATGTTTGTCACAGTCTCTGCTGCCTCGCGAGTGTGTCCCCCTCTCAGTGCAACTTCCAGCATGCACCTCTCTCTGCACTTCTCTGCACACTTTTCAGCCTTTTTGGTTCCACATTCTTTGCCAATGTCCATGGATCGTTTGGATCCGAATGCCCTCGCGGGTGATATGCGTTGGCTATCTCACTGACAAGATGAGATTTATGGGACAGATTCTGGCCGCAGAGAAACAGGAGACACTGATAATGGGGTTGTGGATAAGAGGAGCTCACTGGATTTAAAATACAGTTGAGCTCATTCAAATTAACTCCCACAAAACGCCTAACAGGTATGCACAGGTAGGCAGTTAGTGCTACTTAATATTAAACACAACGCAAAATAATAAATCGCATGACTGCAGAATATGAGTAACAAAATAAATAAACAGACAATTCGCCTCCTTCACAGATCTGTCCCTCCACGTAATTTTTTTTTATAAAAGTATTATTACAAATCCCATCAGCCGTGCGGCCTTCTGGGAATGCATCAATTCAGCCGCATTGATTCAACACAAGCAGACCCTGGACTGGTTTTCACATTCAGTGTCTCATCAGCAGAGCCAGGCTCGATCGAACCAATGCTGGTGAACTGCCAGATGTTTGATATCGGCAAGGACCATCTCTGGTGGATATGGGGGTCGTAGCTTGACTAAAAATTCTATCACACTGAAAAACGAAATAATCATTAGCATCAACGTTAGATAATTATCACGCAAGTATATGATCATTATGGCGGTATCCCGGGGTACCAAATAATACAAAATGGCCGAGGCAATTAAATGTTGTATTTCTGGGACACTATTTTTTCCAGAAGTGTACTTAACTCTGCGACTGGGGTACCAATAAATCCGAAATCAGTGCTACTCCGTGATGTCAAAACGCCAAACAGCATTAAAAAAATCCGTTATCGAAAAATTCGACGTTGAATCGTGCATCTTGCACAGCTCGTCGAGATGAGTCGATTGCCACATCTCTGACCATCAACAGACTAAAAATTACTGCATCACGGACATTACGCGAGAGCCGGGGGACTATGGTACCCACTGCACAGTTACCATGGAACCCCGGGGAACTATGATACCCTGTCTGTCTCACTGTCTGTGTACTCCCATCCTAGCAAAGCGTTGAACTGCCAAACTGTTGGGTTTACGTTTCAACAAAGTACACAAATACAACAAACTTAGCCCCCCCCCCCCCCCCGCGACAAAAACTTGCTATTTGTTTTGCCCTTGGTCTAATCTAAACGAAGACAATCATACTTTGTACAATGTACGCTGATTGTAATGATACCTTTGAAATGCGCGCCAAAGCACTGCATGGCAGATGCCCCCGGCAACGCAAAAATGACGCCTCTACAAGACGCGAAGACAAACACAACGGGAGCGGCGCTGTGGCGCGCAAAACAAACAGTGGAGGAGCAGCGAACAAACAAGGAAGGCACCTCAGCAGCACGGGCTGAGGAAACTGAATTTCAGCAAGCATGGAGACAAGGCAGAGACTGCAAAGTACTGTAGCAGCACAAGCTGAAGTAAATCCTAAACAGCGTCCATGGAGACAAGCTAGAGACTGCACAGTTACCTCTGCAGCAGCACAAGCTGAGGTTAATCCTAAACATTGTGATGTCCTAGTTCACCCCCACTACCCCAACGTGTACAGTTACTACTGTAGAGTCAGTAGATACTACTAGAGATACCGTAGATAGCTAATTTAGAGTCAGTTACTGCTATAGTCAGTAGATACCACTGTAGGGTCACTAGATACGACTGACTGTTGCATGTAGGGTGTGTTGATATATATTCCGACAAAATAAAAAATTGGGTGAGAGGGGTAAAAACTTTTTGGAGGGGTCGACAATTTTTTGAAACCTTTTAGACCAACTATTTACCCCTCCCCCCCCCCCCACTTTCTATAACTTTTTGATTCAGACCTTCTATAAAGCTATTATTGTTGACAGACAAATGGACAAACATAACGTTGGGCTTTTATGATAGCTTAGTATTTGTGTATGTATGTTATTTTTTAAAGATAATATATATTTTCCCCTGGGCAAAGCCGGGTACTTCCTGCTAGTTGAGAATAAATGTTGTGTATTTTACCTGATGCACAAATGGAAAATGTAAAACCCTCCAGTGTGTGACCGTGGTCATCCAGAACAAGAGCGTACAGTGTGAAACGACGCAGTGCCCCGATTCACAAATACGAAGGAGACATCGCAGCGATACAACTCCGCTGCTCCTGACGCAGGTTGTCTGGCTTCACCACCTGAATGTGACATTGTAGTTGTTGCTTTGCATCTACATCAGCAGCCGTACGGAAGAAGAAGTTTGTATTATCATAGGTTTGTGTCGAACGAGGTCCCATATTTTACAGAGAGGGCACTTACCTATGAACAAACTGCAGTGCCCAACAGAACACAGGTAGCTCCGTGGGGAGTAAGGGCCGAGGAGCTCCTAGGGGGGCAGCTCGTGCAGGTGTATTTTTAACGGATGATGATATAGCGTATTTTTAGCAAGTGATGACACAGTAAAATGATGACATCACCATTCATCATTGTAGCACTCTCGGTACCGGCTTCTTGTGATGGTTTATCAGCGCCGGGCTGGCAGGAATATATTTATTATGAGCTTAACACAAAGACACCTGTGTGCTACATACAGCATAGCATAGCAACAACACCAGTCGATAAATATTGCAAAATTGTGGGAAACTGATGTCGCGACGATCTGAACTTTCCAAAACGTGACATTGCATCGAATCGCGACTAGTCCGGTGACCAAGGGGAAGAGAAGACCTCGAAGGGCAGATGGTGAGAGACTCTTAGAGTGGCGCTCTGGGTCGTCTCGGCGTGTCTCTGTATGCGACTACAGGGTTACGAAAGTCTCGGACCAGATGGGAGGGAACTGTTAGGGCAGCTCTATGGGTCTTTGTGTGAGACTATGCGTCTCTGTGTGTATCTGTGTGACTATGTGTTCCCGTAGGATTCTGTAGATCTCCATGTGAGACCCTGGGTCTCTATGGGAGTTTCAGAGCAGATAGGGAGGAGACTGTTAGGGCAGCTCTATGTTAGGGCAGTCCTATGCACAGCGATCATCGACCCCCCCCCCCCCCCTACTGGCACACTCATGCCCCAGGTCATTACTTGGCGATCATCAGGGAACCCGCAGTGGCCAGCGTGAAGCACGGTCACCATCTGAGGCCCACCCCGATGGTGAGGGGTGAGGCTACTTCCTCTGCCCAATATTGAGACGCCCGTTGGATGACGCCATCGACCATTTTATTTATTTCACTACTTAGTGGAGGTTAAATTTCGATTGGAAACTTTCGTGACTGCAGGGATTCATCTTCTTGGTCCTTTCGGTAAAGTCACGTAGAAGGAAAATATTAAAATAATAAAAATGAAACATAATAAAATAATTCTCACGATGTTTCGGCCACAACGCAAGCAGACTCTGTCTTCTCGACAGACCTGTTCTCCAATGAAGACGGCTGCTTGCGTTGTGGCCGAAACGTCGTGACAATTATTTTATAATGTTTTATTTTTTATTATTTTATTATTTTCCTTATACGTGACTTTTCCGAAAGAACCAAGAAGATATTTCACTACTGTTGTAGAAAATTGTAAATGGGTAAATAATCGCACTTGACACATTTAATTTCAGGTGCATTGGACCTGGCGCAAAAGCAACTTAATTTAAAATGCGCAAAATGTTGTTTTCCCCCAAAAATAGTCAAAATAACCTTAATGAATTGACACGCACGGCATGGGGCAGTCCTCATCCATCACTAGATTGGCAAGAGGGCTGTACACAGTGTTAAGCGTTGGTAGTGTCTGTCACTGAAGAACGCGATTTTCCGGACTGAACTCACGATTGGAGCCACTTAATCGGTCGGCGACTCCTCCCGGTTCTCTTGACTTCTGGCCCGGTTAAGCAAAAAAATGAACAAAACTTGAATTGTGTGTGTGTCGCGGTCAGGTGCTCAACGGCAAATTGACCATTCCCAACGCCGATCGCTCCGACAATGGAATCTACGCCTGCTGGGCTTCCAGCAACCAAGGAGAGTCGATCCACATCACCCGCCTTCTGGTGCAAGGTGCAGTATATTACGCACGTGCGTGTTTGTGTAGCAGTTGCTTTGATCCGCGAGACATTTCCTCAAAAATGTCTCATTAGTACCACCCAGCGTGCGCTGCACATGCTACGAAAGGATTTTCTGGAAAGCATTTCATCGCTAGAGCACATGCCTATGATAGCAAAAGAGGTGTGGAAGGCCTTTATGAGAATAGTTTGCTAAAATGGTGGCAAAATAGTACGTGGTTTCAAATATGTACACAATGGTGAAAAAGCAATAGGGAGCGTGTCTATAGAGGACAGTGCGTACACAAAGCTGTCTGCTCATGGTGAACACTGCTGCCCGTAGTGGACATCGGTCACTGAACACGTTTGTCACCCCGACTGGTGCCGACCATCCCCTTGGCCCATAGGCTACTTGTATCACCGCGGTGGCGAGGAGACGTTAACTACCACACAATCTCCGTGGTCGTGTAGATTTTTTACTCAGTTTATATCCCTCCACACTTAGGATCAACGTCACGTGTTTAGAGTGTGTGGCCGCTACACATTTCCACGTGATAAGCCACTTCGTTGAGCTATCATTTGTGGCATGGTCACTTCTGAAAAAGAGCCATATAGCAGCTCATTGGGCCTTACCTGGTAAAATAAAAAATAGTTTTCTTTCTTTAGTTTTATGTCTGGGTCCTGGTTTGTAGGTTTCCTTTCAATCTCCTCATAGGCCAGTGCTCTGAGTGATGCCGTAGTGTCATGGCATGATTCAAACACGAGAACGTTTGTGATGGAACATGTACGATGCTGATGATGTATGTATTATATGTTGACACTTCTTTCGCACCATACGTAGCCAACTGTACTGTGCAGTGCACTTTGGGCCGCATGAAAGAAGCGAGTGTGGAGGTCGTAGGATAAACGTTCACTCAGCAGTTGAACACATTTAGCCATTGTCTTATATATTTTTTTATTTAGTTGTATTGTTATTAAAGAACCCAGAAAAAAACGTTGATTCCTAAGAGGGGGAAAACGGCAAGTAACGCGTAACAAACCCGGAGCGATACACCCTCAAAATTATGGACAGACCGGGGGCATCCAGGCTCGCTGCCCTAATCGCGGTAGGGGTAACGATCGAGACCAGGGTATTTATATGAAAGGGAAGAAAGAGGAGGGGTGAATCGTGTAACAAAACAGAATCAGAGCTAAAATAACATCAATGTGATGTCCAAGTTTGTCATTCTTGTTTTCTCCCTGGAGCAGCGATTGTTGTGCATTAACAGAGTTGGTGTAGTCTCCAGAGTTCCATACCTTCTCCCCGGCCCCCAATGTTCCAGCTATTCATGTTTAGGGTTCCACAGGGAAGGGGGACTCATTTTGCCATTTTAATAACGTGAGTAGAAGAGCTGAGCGGGCAACAACGAGCGGGCCAAACGGGGCTGCAGCGATGCGCTCTTGTGTTGCGTTTGTTTCTGGTGGTAATTGTGTTGCGTTTGTGTCTGTAGAATAATTGTGTTGCATTTGTGTCTGGTGATAATTATTTTACGTTTGTGTCTGGTGGTAATTGTGTTTGTGTTGGGTGGCAATTGTATTACTTCGTGTAGGGTGGTAATTGTGTTGGGTGGTAATCTCCGTGTTCTCTCTCTCCCCCCGTGAAGGTTCTCCTGTGATCGTTCTGCCTCCCCGGAACGTAACGGCCAACATTACCCAGCATGCACTGTTCTCCTGCCGTGCCGAGGCCTACCCGTCCAACGTCACATACTCGTGGTTCAAGGCCGACAAGAACGTTCACGCTGTCAGGTGACAACAATAACAACGACGATGCCGTGTGCGTTGTGTCCGTCACGAAATAGGCGTCGCTTAGATCGGCACACCCGGCTGGGCTGGGTGAGAGAGGGGCTGCCTCCCGGGACAGGCATCGGAGCGATCTCCACAAGTCTGGTGACCAAGGAGAAGAAGAGACTTCCAAGGGCAGATGGTGGGAGACTGTTAGAGCGATGCTATGGGTCTCTGTGCGTCTCTGGCTGAGACTACAAGATACTATACGATTCTGTAGGTCTCCATGTGAGACCCTGGGTCTCTGTGCGAGTCTCAGAGCAGGTGGGGGGAGACTTAGGGCAGCTCTATGGTTCTCTGTGTGAGACTATGGGTATCTGTGTGTCTGTGTGACGATTTGTTCCTATTTGATTTTCTAGGTCTCCATGTGAGACCCTGGGTCTGTGTGAGTCTCAGAGCAGGTGGGGGGAGACGGTGAGGGCAGATAGTGGAGGTCGCTGCATCTCTACCGTGCAGCAGGAGCAGCTGTGGGGTCTGGTGGAGGGTGCAGAGCGTGAGTAGTGAGAGGGTGTGGTGGGATGCACTGCGTACACCTCACTTGGCAAATGACATGGGACCAGCCAGGTGGCTCAATGGAAAAAAGCGAGCAGCTCACATTTGGAAGGTTGTGAGTTGAAATCCTGGTTGATAAAATTAGTGCCACCTTTTGGGGGGAACGTTTAAGAGACTTGGCCCCTGCCATAGAAGTGTGTAATTTTCACCATTGTCTCGAGACTGTCATTGGGAGATGAAAATCACAGCCAAGCTCAGTTAAGCAGGAAATTACTTTGACATTTTCATGCAATTGTGCAAAATTTTCTCTCCACAAAAAGGAACTTTAGTATCAATTCCACAAGAATGTCTGCATGCAAATTGCCAAAAGGGCAGGGCCTAGGTTCAGCAAAATTATTCTATGACCATTTAAAACTAGACTGAAAACGAATTTCCTAGATGGAAAACTCATTATTTTAGAACTAGTTTTTTTGTCTAGTTTATTGTCCTTCTCCTGCACCTCCGGTTAGCGCGGTTGCCTACGTACAGTGTGAAAGAAGTTCAACATACATACATACACACCCAGTGTCCAGTCACAACACAGGGTGACCAGGAGGGGTGGAGGTTTTAAGGGTAAAGGCACAGCCCTGCGATTACTTTCTCACGCCACTGCTGGCGGAAGGGCCTCTACTGGAGGGAACTCTGGAGAGGGCTCTGTCGCGTTGGGAGCTGAGTGGTGGTGAAGTCGCTGCCAGGAATCTCGATTATTCTATCGGAGGTTCCCGCGAGAAAAAAATTCAAATCGCTTCAATGGGAATCTGCTTTAGGCTGCTATCCAGTGGCTACCCTTGGAATTACCTCTGGATTTCTCTCGAGTGGGAGATTCGTGAATCGCTATGTATGTGTAGTGTCGTGCGTCTCCTCTTCGTTCTCTTGCTCGAGGCTTGTGTGTATGTGTGTGGCGTGCGTCGCACACACACTCAGAGACGAGGTGGTTGCAGGAGGCACCGTCCTCCCCTTTTATTTGTTGTTGAGTTCACGCCACCACTCGGGCCCCCTCTCTCTCACTACCACGCTGCCGGACGACCTGTCCCAGACGCGACCCTGTCCGCGTTGCACCGACGGTGTCGACCGGGACAGCCGACTCCTGTCCGGCCGTGCAATGATCGGGCGAAGGCGGCAGCGACGACGAGACGAGTTAATCCCAAAACCGGCGGCCCGGAGCTCTCGCTCTCCGCTGCTGATATTCCCCTCGGCGCCGCTTGGCTCCACCCTAGCCGCACCTCTCTTCTTGAACCCACCAGAGGGTTCCAGGGGCTTCCCCAAGAGGTCTACCGTGACCCTTGCCCCAGTTCCTCTGCCCTGCCCGCACACCCGCGTATTTGCTCAGTGGCGTGTGCGCTAAGTGCCCACCTGCAGTTGCAGCTGCTGTACAACAGTCAGCGCTATGTCACTACATATGTACATTATGTATGTTGAACTTCTTTTGCACTGTACGTAGCCAACTGCGCTAATCGGAAGTGCGAAGAAAGGACAACAAACTAAACACAAAAACCCGTTCTAAAGAAATGAGTGTCCAATCTAGATGATTTTAAAGTGCAAATCTCCAGTGGCTTCCTAATATCAGAAGGAAGAGCGTTCCAGACGGCCGCAGAAGCGCATCTGAAAGCACGCGTTGTGGTGACCACCGTCTTTGTTCGATGGTTCGCCAAAAGCCGCTTCTGCGTGGAACATCGGAGTGCACGTGATGATGGTCTATGCTTCTTGACGAGATCAGCGAGGTATTGTGGTTCATTTGTGGCAAGCATTGTGTAATAAGTGAGACCTTATAAGCATGGAGACTATTGAAACGAAGCACAAATACCAAAAAACCATGCGGCCAGCAATAAACAGCACTCTTGAAGGTATAATAGATTAGAGTTCATACACTATGTGACTTGAGCAAGGTTACAAGGTCCTGGGAAAGGAGACGGTGGGAGGGAATTCCAAAGTGGAGCGGTGCCATGACTGTCAGTGTCGTGAGTGGGTGGGTTGATGGGTGAGTCAGTGGGTGAGTGATTTTGTGCATGAGTGCATGAGTGAGTGAGTGGGAGAGTTGAGGAGTGAGTCAGTGGGTGAGTGATTTTGTGCATGAGTGCATGAGTGAGTGAGTGGGAGAGTTGATGAGTGAGTCAGTGGGTGAGTGATTTTGTGCATGAGTGCATGAGTGAGTGAGTGGGAGAGTTGATGAGTGAGTCAGTGGGTGAGTGATTTTGTGCATGAGTCCATGAGTGAGTGAGTGGGAGAGTTGATGGGTGAGTCAGTGGGTGAGTGATTTTGTGCATGAGTGCATGAGTGAGTGAGTGGGAGAGTTGATGAGTGAGTCAGTGGGTGAGTGATTTTGTGCATGAGTGCATGAGTGAGTGAGTGGGAGAGTTGATGGGTGAGTCAGTGGGTGAGTGATTTTGTGCATGAGTGCATGAGTGAGTGAGTGGGAGAGTTGATGAGTGAGTCAGTGGGTGAGTGATTTTGTGCATGAGTGCATGAGTGAGTGAGTGGGAGAGTTGATGAGTAAGTCAGTGGGTGAGTGATTTTGTGCATGAGTGCATGAGTGAGTGAGTGGGAGAGTTGATGAGTGAGTCAGTGGGTGAGTGATTTTGTGCATGAGTGCATGAGTGAGTGAGTGGGAGAGTTGATGAGTGAGTCAGTGGGTGAGTGATTTTGTGCATGAGTGCATGAGTGAGTGAGTGGGAGAGTTGATGAGTGAGTCAGTGGGTGAGTGATTTTGTGCATGAGTGCATGAGTGAGTGAGTGGGAGAGTTGATGAGTGAGTCAGTGGGTGAGTGATTTTGTGCATGAGTGCATGAGTGAGTGAGTGGGAGAGTTGATGAGTGAGTCAGTGGGTGAGTGATTTTGTGCATGAGTGCATGAGTGAGTGAGTGGGAGAGTTGATGGGTGAGTCAGTGGGTGAGTGATTTTGTGCATGAGTGCATGAGTGAGTGAGTGGGAGATTTGATGGGTGAGTCAGTGGGTGAGTGATTTTGTGCATGAGTGCATGAGTGAGTGAGTGGGAGAGTTGATGGGTGAGTCAGTGGGTGAGTGATTTTGTGCATGAGTGCATGAGTGAGTGAGTGGGAGAGTTGATGGGTGAGTCAGTGGGTGAGTGATTTTGTGCATGAGTGCATGAGTGAGTGAGTGGGAGAGTTGATGGGTGAGTCAGTGGGTGAGTGATTTTGTGCATGAGTGCATGAGTGAGTGAGTGGGAGAGTTGATGGGTGAGTCAGTGGGTGAGTGATTTTGTGCATGAGTGCATGAGTGAGTGAGTGGGAGAGTTGATGAGTGAGTCAGTGGGTGAGTGATTTTGTGCATGAGTGCATGAGTGAGTGAGTGGGAGAGTTGATGGGTGAGTCAGTGGGTGAGTGATTTTGTGCATGAGTGCATGAGTGAGTGAGTGGGAGAGTTGATGGGTGAGTCAGTGGGTGAGTGATTTTGTGCATGAGTGCATGAGTGAGTGAGTGGGAGAGTTGATGGGTGAGTCAGTGGGTGAGTGATTTTGTGCATGAGTGCATGAGTGAGTGAGTGGGAGAGTTGATGGGTGAGTCAGTGGGTGAGTGATTTTGTGCATGAGTGCATGAGTGAGTGAGTGGGAGAGTTGATGAGTGAGTCAGTGGGTGAGTGATTTTGTGCATGAGTGCATGAGTGAGTGAGTGGGAGAGTTGTTGTGACCCCCAGTGTGGCAGTCAAGCATAGTGCAGATTACATGGAACTGTCAGTCTCATAGACTGAGTCCTTGAGACGGATGCAGGAATTGACGAGCGAAGTTCACGGTGAGTGCATGAGTGAGTGTGTGAGTTATTGGGTGAGTGTGTGTGTATCAGTGAGTGTGAAAGTGAGTCAGTGGATGAGCGAGTGTCGGGGAGTGGGTGAGTGAGTGGGTGGGTGAGTGAGTGAGTTGTAACCTGCAGCGTGGTGGTTGAATGCACTGTGGAAGAGACAAAGCAGTCCGTTCAAACGAACCCTCAACATGGGAGGAGGAATCAAAGAGTTAAGTTCGTGGAGAGAGTGGTGGTAGGGACAGGACAGCGATAGCCACGATGGACCCCTACGCATCTCCCTGGAGCCCTGCACACTCGACGCTCCGCTGGCGAGGCCATGCAGGTTGTCTGTGCGGGGGGGAGCGGTGGCAAGGAGTCGATTTCCGCTAACCGCTAACAACGGTGACGAATATCCGAACCGGTCCTGCTGCGGCTCCCTCTAGGACGACTTGGCCTTAAACGAGTACCCAGTGCGGTGGTGTGTAAAATATTGGACGGGCGTTGTTCCGGCCACACTAGCCCCTCGGTGCTCGCTAACAGCACGTGACCCCAACAGGCAGAATAGGTTACACGAGGGATCTTTGCCTTTGTGCGCCGCCAGTGGGCTGGAGGGGCGTGTGCGGGTGCTGCTGGACGGGAGCCTGCTCATCTACCGCGCCAGCCCAAACGACGCGGGGGCCTACTCCTGCGTGGCGAGCAATGGCCTGGGCAACGCCGCCACCGCCTCGGCGCACCTCACCATCCACTGTGAGCCACCACACTGCACCGTACCACACCACACCGCACTGTACCACACCACACCGTACCACACCACACCGCATCGTACCACACCGTGCCACACTACACCGTACCACACCACGCCGAATCACGCGCCACTGCACCATGCCACTAAAGTACACCGAGCCATAGCCAGACGTGTCGGCGTCCCGGACAACAACATGCTGCCCACTCCTCTCCCGAGCTCACCACACAGTTGAGCCTGCCCCCCCCTCCCCACCCACCCCACCGCTGTGGCGGCACCTGAGGGTTTAGCAGCACTCGGCAGATTCTGCCACGAACGTTCACCGATCGGGTTACAGAATTCCATGGTAAACATACCCCTGTCTACTCTCTGGTGGATAAAGGCCTCCCCACGCCATGTCGATCATTGAGCTTGTTTGACCATACTTCAATGCTGGTCAGTGTGGTTGGTGATGGGGGGGGGGGGCAAGACCCGTTCAGATATCTCTCGCCACTGATGTTCGCTGTCGCCAAGACTCAAACTCAGGTGTTGGCAGGTACAGAGTGTTTGCCACTGTGGCGTCGCCCCATCCAATTACGATGATTGTATATGGGTAGTGAGTCCAAATGAGTCGCAGACATTGTCTTGGGAGCAACACTTTATTCAATAAATCAACGTAACATAACACAACCTACACTTGAGTGTTGAATGCTCATCTCGCCATGCTACGGCAGAACTAGACACGGTTCGCTATCCCGGCCCAGACCACAATCTGAGTCCCGGACCGCGTGGCTAGAGGCTCCTTTTGCCCGACGTGGATCTTCATCACCAGCAACACGAAGAACCCCGAGCCCCTCACGGGGCCCCGTTATATCGGCCCGGGCTGGCTCCGCCCCTCGCCCCACCCACCTTCTAGATCTCTCGAACTCTTTCCCGAAGGCTCCCCGAGAGCTCTTTTATACCACGTGACCGCCCAGCGGCCCCTGTCCGGTCCACCGGTGGCCCTCCTCCAATATCATCCAGTCACGTGTCGGCAGGTCAACCAGCGTATCATGCCCCAACGTAACCCTGGCTGACACTCCCTCTCACTCCCTCACCGAAAGCCCGCACCGCGCATTGTACGTGGTGCCTCCGCGCTGACCAGCGCTCACCCAAGCCCTGCTAGGGCTGGTACTACACCCACTAAGCAGGCTACACATAATGCCAACACATTATCTGCCATGGATTTGCAATCCCGGCACCACACAGTGAAAATCACAGTCACTACATCTGCATACGAATGCTAGGAATTATTTTTCCCGTGGAACCGAGTCCGCATCAAGCGAGCGGTGAGCAGATTGTACTCATTGCTTGCCATGGGACTCGAACAAATTCGCGGTTCACGCACAGCAGCAACGGCTGTGCCCCACGGAGCATGCTGCATGAAGCGGATGCTCTGGTTTGCACTCGCCGTCCGGTTCTGCACCCCGAAAAATATTTTGCCTCTGCACAAAATGAAACCGCCCACAATGCATTTCTTGTTATTAACGGTGACAGGAACGTGTTAGGTGGCGGCGGGGGCAGCTTGCAGGACGCCTTCATCCAGCAGTGGACATGAACGTGGCTGTTGATGACGATGATGAATGGCGACAAGAGGAATGACCACCGCTTGATTCGTAAAGCCATGACATTCTCGATCTCTCCCCTTGCCCCCTCCCCACGCGATGCCCCCGAGGGATTGCTTTGCGAGCAGCACCGCCGCAACAGAGCCCTCACCATTCGTGCTCAGTCCTGGTCGCTGGTCAACTCCACCACCACCATCATCATCACCACTCTCTGGGGGGCTGATAAAATAGGTACCGCTTTGTGGGAAGCTGACTGCGGTTGTCCAGTGGAGAGACTGGCTTTCACACTGGCTCATAGATGAGTGCTGCCCAATGCCTGTTTAGTGAAACTAAATACTATTAAAACTATAAATATTTTTTATTTTACCAGGTAATACCAACTGAGCTGTATAGCTCAAATAATACCTCAATGAAGTGGCTTATCATCATGTGGAAATTTATAGCAGCAGCCAAATATTCTGAACGTGTGATGTGGAGGGGAAAACCAGAAGACCCGGAGAAAAATCCACGCGACCACGGGGAGAGAGACGTGCAAACTTCACATATACAGGCGTGAGGGTCAGGATCGAACCCACGACCTCCTGTATACCAGGCAAGGTAGTTAACATCTCACAACCACGGCGACCCAGTTAAACTAAACTAAATTATGTTTTATTTTACCAGGTATGTAACTCTTTTTCAGAAGCGACCTGGTCACAAATTATAGTTCAACGAAGTGGCCTATCATGTGGACATTTATAGGAGTCAAATACTCTAAACGCGTGATGTTTATTCTAAATGTGGAAGGAAAACACTTGTGGACTGGAGAAGAATCCACAAGACCACGGAGAGAACATGCAAACTCGAAATATGCAGGCGTCAGGATCGAGATCGAGTAAACAGATTTCCACTTCGGCGGCCCAGTTAGGGAAATGCTTCCCGTTTAGCAGGTCGTCGGGGCCACTGCGTGAGGAATGACGGTGATATTTTAATTGGTGTTATTGAAGGAGGTGGGAGAATACAAGGTGATACATTTATAGATACCCCACTAAAATGGTAGGAAGGCACGGGGAGACCAGTGTGTTACAAAGCCTCTACACGTCTCACAAATCTGAACTCATTCAATCTTTGGACACTTTCGTGATTAACCTTGCCCAGCTTAAACGGTATGTTTTATTTTACAACATTGAATCATTCATAGGTTGAGGTAATTTATATCTAAGCAAGAAGGCAATTAGAAAGCAGTGAGGTGTCTACAAACGGATCACCCTGTTAACATCTCACCACCGCGAGGTGCCGCGGTGGTGAGATGTTAACTACCTCTCCTGGTATGCAAGAGGTCGTCGGTTCGACCCCTAAAAGGATGCCTGCTGTATATTTGGGTTTGCATGTTCTCCCCATGGTCGCGTGACTTTTTCTTCGGGTCCTCCTGTTTTTCCCTCCACATTTAGACAACAACATACATTTAGTGTTTTGCTGCTATAAATTTCCACATGATAAGCCAGTTCATTGGACTATCATTTGTGGCTAGGTCGCTTCTGACAAAGAGGAATATAGCTCAGTGGGCCTTTCCTGGTGAAATATAAAGTTTAGTTTACATAGTCTAGTTTTATTTTATATCGGGTGTATTCACCGGTCAAGTGACTCAGTGGTAGAGTGAGCGCCTCGAAATCCTAAAGCTCAAACATCCTTGTTGGGGGGTGACTCAGCCTATCATTCCACCGGGTCGATAAAATACGTACCATGTTGTGGAAAGCCAAAAATAGTCGCCATACGGACAACTGCGACCCTGCCATAGAAATGTGGAGATTCCTCCGCTGCAAACAGGATGAGCAACACCTCAATGCTCAAGTGAGCAGGATATCACTTTGACTTTTTGCTTCTGAGCTGGATCATTGACATTTTAATTTCAATGCTACAGGCATGGATGAACAGCGCTGATGAGAGAAGCCAGCCAGTAACTCCCACCCAGGGGATAAACATTGTCGAAATAGCACGCGGACTATCGCGTGATACTCGTGACAGCATTTGTCATACAGACACTGATGCCTGTGGTGGATTCGGCGCATGAATGCACTGCAGCACAGCAGTGAGCGAGAGGCGGTTGCGATTTGGGTAGGCCTTCATCCAGCAGTGGATTAACCACGGATTGATGCATCGGTGCCCAAGAGTAATGAAAAACGCGCTTCCTCGACACTGACCATTACTGACGCGCTGGCACATGCATCTTCCTTGCTGGGAGTGTGGTTCTGACCCCGTGTCCACGGCAATCGGCCTGTGTCCGAATCACGGTGGCAATCCGGCATGCGTCCCACGGTGATGGCAATTCGGTTGAAAACAAGAGACAGCCTCTTCGGTTCTCGGGGAAGGCTCTTTGCTAATAGTTGTGGTCTCCCGATCAAAGGTGTCCACGTTGATAATGCAGATTCAAGACTTGATTAGGAAAGAGTGCGGGTCCTTTCAGCGGCAGAAGGCATTGGAGGCAGCGGCGCTGTTTGAAGCTTAAACGTTGGAGAGAGAACAAATAAACGCTCGACCGGGTTACATGTGGTTCAGCAACATGGCCATTATCAACAACAAGATAAAGAAAACGGAACAACAACTGTCGAGGGCACACCACATTGTGGAGAGACGCACGCTTGGAATTGCAATGAGAGATGGAGAGAGGAGCACGTAGATTAGACAGTGGACGCTTGTTATTGGCGTCATCCTAACCGTTCCGAAGAGTGAGTTGGGGCTTGGCGGCCAGGACGTGTCATGGTTAGAAGGGGTGATGGACCACGGTCGAGAATAATACCAGAGTCACAGGCAAGGAATGGATCTCGCCTGTTGAGAGGAGGTGCTGTGTGGAATAATGAGAGGTTGGTGGTGGCTTGGAAGGCCTTTATAAATCCAGCAGTGGATTGATCACGCGTGTATGTATGTAGACTTTCTTTCGCACCATACGTAGCCAACCATGCTAATCAGAGGTATGGGGGAAGGATGACAAATCATCATGGCTGATGATGATGATAATGACGATAGCACAACCCTTCTGTGTAAACAGCGGGCTGCACACGAGTGTGTGCAGCGTATCTAGTGGGCCGGTTCCCGTGGGCAGCGAAAAAGTTGTGGCCATGGCCTGCTGCATAAAACCTCCTCATGGGCCGCCTTTGGCCTGAGGGTGTTCGTGTTTGATGCCCCCTCCTCCAGACCCTAAAGCAAACTCATTCAATGAGTGGTACAACACTGACTTGGCACGTCATGAAAATTTCGCCTCGGAAAAAATGGGGATGTAATTGACACTAAATTACTGCTGTGGTGCAAAGGACATTGTTCACGACTGGGCTGCTCCCTACTGCTCCCGTGTGGACGTGCCCTCCATAGACTGTGTCCTCCATGGGCTGTATCCTCCGCGAGCCGTGCTCACCATTAGCTGTGCCCTCCAGGAGTCGTGCGTGTACGCCATACAGCTCCGAGGGGCACGCAGCGCGACGCCGCAGCACTTGCGTCCCCAGTGCATGCGCGGATGGCTGCCACACCAGGTGTTGTCACCATTTCTGAGGTGCAATGAGAGGGGGGAAACTCTATACAACCCTTTGTCGTGAGTGGTGTGTTTGTTAACGTTCTATGAAGAGTTAAAGATCTCCTAGGACAGCAGCTGCTGCCTCCTCGCCAAGAGGATGATCCTGGGAAATCCAGGGCAGGTGGTGAGCCCTACAAGACAGAGACCAATGCTCATTGTAGGAATGCATTTCAGATTTAACCAGCGTGGATGTTTAAAGACAATTCTAGATATCTTTGGGATGTTGGAGCAATGACGGTGCGGACTGGTTGAACGTGTCTTCGTGCTAGCAATGGCAACATCACACGATGCCACTTGGTGAAAAAAGCACGGAAGTGACATCATGAAGGTGACATAGCTTCCTGTGAAGTCATGTTTTTGGATCAATCCGAAAATATAAAATAAAAATTCGGATCCGAAATTTGGTATCCAAAGAGGATAATTTTTTTTTATTTTGGATTATTCCCAAAATGGGTAACACATCTCAAGTTTGATTCGGGAATCATTGTTGTGGTTGGGCCACGTGATGATCCGCTAAGTAGAAGAACAAATATCAAAACCAAATGCTACCAGAGAATGTTTTTGTCTGCATGTTCACCATGAGTATATGTGGTTAATGCAGTTTCAGTTTGGTGTTTCAACATCTTAACACCTGTTTTATTGCCAAAAAGGGTAAAGCCTATTCTTATGCACCAAGCATCTTCAGCAAAGTTCAGGAAGTCAGCATAAAAAAAATGATAATCTGGCTACCCGAGTTCGATTCCTGCTCATGATCAACACCAGTGACGATTATCTGAACCAGTCCTGGACCTTGGCTAGGTTAACTCAACTTCAAACGAGTACCTTGCGCAGTGTGTAAAACCATCATCACTGGGAAGACCAAGCCGGACGGTTTTGGTGAGGGCCACCCACCCCTCTCGTGTGCTGCTCGCTAACAGCACTTGCCCCAACAGTCTGTTAAGGCTACACGGGGGGGATATTTGTCTTTTTTCTCACAGACCCGGCGCGGGTGGTGGGCATGCCGGCGGTGACGTACGTGCCCATTGGCCTGGCCGGCTTCGTGCGCTGCCCCGCGGACGCAGTGCCCCCCGTGTTGCGTATCGACTGGAAACGGGACGGCCGACCTCTTGACCTGCAAGCGGTGAGCCCCCCCCCCACACCCTTCCCCCCCCCCACACCCTTCCCCCCCCACACCCTTCCCCCCCCACACCCTTCCCCCCCCCCACACCCTTCCCCCCCCCCACACCCTTCCCCCCCCCCCACACCCTTCCCCCCCCCCACACCCTTCCCCCCCCCACACCCTTCCCCCCCCACACCCTTCCCCCCCCCCACACCCTTCCCCCCCCCACACCCTTCCCCCCCCCACACCCTTCCCCCCCCCCACACCCTTCCCCCCCCCCACACCCTTCCCCCCCCCACACCCTTCCCCCCCCACACCCTTCCCCCCCCCACACCCTTCCCCCCCCCCCACACCCTTCCCCCCCCCACACCCTTCCCCCCCCCCACACCCTTCCCCCCCCCCACACCCTTCCCCCCCCCCACACCCTTCCCCCCCCCCCACACCCTTCCCCCCCCCACACCCTTCCCCCCCCCCACACCCTTCCCCCCCCCACACCCTTCCCCCCCCCACACCCTTCCCCCCCCCACACCCTTCCCCCCCCCCACACCCTTCCCCCCCCCACACCCTTCCCCCCCCCACACCCTTCCCCCCCCCCACACCCTTCCCCCTCACCCCTCCCCCCACACCCTTCCCCCCCCCCACACCCTTCCCCCCCCCCACACCCTTCCCCCCCCCCCCACACCCTTCCCCCCCCCCACACCCTTCCCCCCCCCCCACACCCTTCCCCCCCCCCCACACCCTTCCCCCCCCACACCCTTCCCCCCCCACACCCTTCCCCCCCACACCCTTCCCCCCCCCCACACCCTTCCCCCCCCCACACCCTTCCCCCCCCCCACACCCTTCCCCCCCCCCCACACCCTTCCCCCCCCCACACCCTTCCCCCCCCCACACCCTTCCCCCCCCCCCCACACCCTTCCCCCCCCCCACACCCTTCCCCCCCCCACACCCTTCCCCCCCCACACCCTTTCCCCCCCCCACACCCTTCCCCCCCCCACACCCTTCCCCCCCCCCACACCCTTCCCCCCCCCCACACCCTTCCCCCCCCCCACACCCTTCCCCCCCCCACACCCTTCCCCCCCCCACACCCTTCCCCCCCCCACACCCTTCCCCCCCCCCACACCCTTCCCCCCCCCCACACCCTTCCCCCCCCCACCCTTCCCCCCCCCACACCCTTCCCCCCCCCCACACCTTCCCCCCCCCACACCCTTCCCCCCCCCACACCCTTCCCCCCCCCCACAACCCTTCCCCCCCCCCCACACCCTTCCCCCCCCCCACACCCTTCCCCCCCCCCACACCCTTCCCCCCCCCCACACCCTTCCCCCCCCCCCACACCCTTCCCCCCCCCCCACACCCTTCCCCCCCCCACACCCTTCCCCCCCCCCTATCCCCTCCCTCCTCTCACCCCACTGTGCTTCTCCACAATGGCTGCCGTTTCCTATTCCCCCATGCACGTTTTAGAAGAGGCGTTCCGCCATGTGAATGTCGGCTCACTGCAATGGCGATTGAAAACCACAGAGGAAAAAAAAACTAATAAAAAGTATTAAAATACATTTCCTGTAACAAAAGTTCGCTTGGACGAAATCCATTTGACAAACCGTTTAAAGTCAAATGAAGTTACGGCAATGACTGCACTGGTATGTAGACAGAGAAGGACATGAGTCAAACACAAGCGCATGTGAAGGTGTCGCACAGCAGCGCCGACTAGTGATGTAGGTGGGAAAGGCGTCGAGGGTGCTCGTGAAGTGACGGACTTCTCAGGATTAGGAGGAATTCGCGGGGCGTGGGGGGGGAGAATCCCGAGGTGAGATTCCTTGGACGCCCCATGGTGTCATGGGGCGTCCAAGGTCCCGAGGGAGTGGCGTGACGGCTCTGGGTAAGTGATGGGCGTTGAGTGTCGACGCCAAGCACGCCGTGTTTTCCTCCTGCCCCACCGCCCCCCGCCGGCAGATGCCGGGGTGGTCCCAGCGGGCAGACGGGGCGCTGGTGATCCCCGAGGTGAGCAAGGCGGCGCTGGGCTCCTACAGTTGCACCCCGTACAACGCCTACGGCAGCGTGGGGGAGTCAGCCAGCACCCAGCTCATACTCAAGGTGGGGCGCATCGCCACGGGGACTTTCGCTTGTCCACAGAAAAGGTAAAGGCGCAGCCCTGGCGACGTCATGCCACTGCTGGCGCACAGGCCATCTGCTTGAGGTAGCTCTGGACGTCCTCTCCGGCCGGCATTTTTTTTTGGTGGGAGAGCGCGCCGATCGACCAGCTGTGGTGGTGAACTCATTCTCACAGCTGGGTGGACAGAGCCTGTGGTAGGGGAGGGGGGCATTTAAGAAACTTGCCCGTTAATTACAAGTACTGCGCCGGGAGATTGCACCGGAGCGCTCGAGGCATTGCCAACCATTACGGGACGCTTCCTCTGTGTGTGTGGCCAGGTGGGGCTCGGCAGTAGAGCCGGCGGCTCACAAGCAGAAGTGTGCAAGTTCAAACCCTGATTGGGGGTCGATGGAATAAGTACCACTTTGTGGGGAGGTCAGTAGTGGTTGTCTCGGTGGCGAGATGTCAACTACCTCGCCTTGTATGCAGGTGGTCATGAGTTCGGTCTCGACCCTGATGGCTGCTGTATATTTGGAGTTTGCGTGTTCTCCCCGTGGTCGCGTGGATTTTTCTCTGTGTCTTCCGGTTTTTCCTTCCACATTTAGAATCAACGTGTGTTTCGAGTATTTGGCTGCTATAAATTTCCACGTGATAAGCCATTTTGTTGAGCTATGATTTGTGAAAGCCAGGTCACTTCTGAAAAAGAGCGACATAGCTCAGTTGGCCTTACCTGGTAAAATAAAATAAAATATTTTAAAGTTTCATTTTTTATAGACTCACCGCCACCACAGGAACGAGGAAATTTTCACCGCGGACTTCAGGGCTATCAGTGGGAGATGAGCGCCGCTTCAACGACGCTCGTTAAAGCCGGAGTTTGCTCTGACTCTCGATTTGCGTGCGCGTGCCCACGCGTGTCTGCGTGTGTGCGTGCCAAGCCTCCACCATACTTTACGCTGGTACCGGCGCGGGAATACAAGCAGGAGGTGGGGCGTGAGCTGCGCATCCCCTGCTCGGCGGTTGGGGACCCACCCCCCTCCTACTCCTGGAGGCAGGTGAGCAGCAGCAGCAGCAGGAGCACCGGCGCCAAGAGCAGCGGCACCAGTGCCAGCAGCGCTCCCCATGGCGGCGCCACTGTGGGCTCACTACTCGGGTTGTTCATGGACAGCGACATGCCGATTTACGTCGTTTCGCATATTCATTGTCGCTTTATTAGTACAGCCCGTTCTCTCCTATAATGCTGCGTGTGTACTTTTCATAACGCGAATTGAATATAACGAGATGTATGTTTAAGGAGCACATATTTTTACGATGCGGATGCGAATTGGATATAACGCATTTGAGCGAAGGGAATTACGTCGCGTAATTAAGAATAAGCGATCGTACGGCTGCCTCGGTGTAGCATCGCACAAGGCGGGATGCTGCTGGATGCTTCTATCCACGCACCTCAGTCTTTGTTCGGCCTGCGTACGCATCTCCCGTGTTATTGCTGACTGCTTTACCCTATATTATATATTATTCATCATAACGCGATTTTTCCATATCGCGGCATTTTTCAGGAATGCAACAACTACTGCGTTATAGGAGAACAGACTGTGTACCACTACCTGATTGTCATCGCCTCAACCCACCTCCGTTTAGCACGGTTGGCTACGTACAGTGCGAGAAGAAGTTTAACATACATACACACTGACGTCGCTGACACCATCACCCGTCCTTTCTGGTATCCGTCTTCTCCGGCCTTCGCCTCCACCTACCCTGTACACGAGCTACTTCGCATTGCGCGTAAAGAAGTGTACTGTACCGTAGATTACAATATATTATTTACGTACGGTATTTTGGTGATTTTTTTATTGTACCCTGGAAAATTTGTGTTAAAGTTTACTGCTGTACCCTGAGCACGGAGTTTTCAGTAATGTAATGTAACATTGTGGATACATGTAGGATGAATATGCGTGCATTAACGGACAGCGTCACCACAATGAGTAGGTTGGCAGGTTACGTGCAGTGGGGTAAAGTGTGGGTACATCGACCCCGGCCTGGCCAGCGGTGACAGAGTAGGTCGAGTACCTTCGCGAGGGTGGGAAACATTTGGAGACGTTTTAATTTCGAGCCTTGGCCCATGATGGCATCTGGAGGTTGTCAAGGGTGCTCGATGAAGGTCAGATGTCAGCCTTTGAACTTAAAAAAGGTTCCTTTTGCATTATATTCTCCCCAAGAACTGAAGGTTTATAATTTATAACTTTGTTTGTATCTGAGAGTTCTGAAAGGTGGTGACAACTCCAATAGTGTGGGAAGGTCACCTCCAGTACCAGCTACACTCTATACAGAGCCTAATCACACTCGTATTCTGTATTGTTCTTTATTGTCTTGTAAATGGATGTATACATTTGAATTGAGCCTGTAACATTTCAACACATTCAAGACACAAAGTGCTGCACTGCATGTACAATTATCCCTCAGTCTTTTCCAGACCACGAGTTCAAGAGCACTGAATGTCTTACCGCTTTGTCATCATTTCAAAGATTTGAGAAAATGTGGCCATTCCATCAACAGGCGGCAGCAGTAGTGAGGGAACGACCCGATGGTAGAGCGGTTCTATCCTCATTTGGACTCATCGGTCCCGTGGTAAGAGATGTTCACTCCTGCCACATGCATCTGGGAGCCCTACATTTGTAGAGGGACCCGGTGAGCACTGCCAGAAGGCAACAATGTTTTCGTCTGCATAATTTTCAGATTGAATTCAACACATTCTCTTTTCCCTTTGAGACTGGAGGGTTATTGACGAATGTGTTGAGTTTTTGTTCCTCACGCTTGTGCACCATTGCCGCACGATCTGTCCTTCGAGTGGCCTCCCGTGCGTGTGCATGCGCTCGTGCGCGGTGCGCGATGAACTTGGCGACCCGAGTTTGATTCCCGCTCACGACCAACACCAGTGACGATTACCTGCACCGGTCCTGTGCCTCCCCTAGGTCGACTCAGCCTCAAATGAGTGCCTGGTGCAGTGTGTAAAACATCGCCACTGGGGAGACAAAGGCGGCCGGGCATGATGCTGGCCACCCACCCCCCTCGTGTTCTATGCCGGTCTTCATCGGTGCTGCTCGCTCACAGAATTTACCCCAACAGTCTGTAAAGGCTACACGGGGGGGGGGATCTTGGTCTTTGTGCGTGCAGGAGGGCCACCTGCTGCCCCAGCAGCCCCCGGCACGTGACGGCACGCTCTACATCCGGGCACTGCACAAGGAGGACTCGGGCCGCTGGGCCTGCGTGGCTTCAAACGTGGTGACCAGCATCAGCGCCGACACGTACCTCTACGTCACCGGTACGGCGGACGGAGACCGGTTCGATCCTTCGTGTTGGGATGTTGAGAGATGCACCCTGGGTAATTGCCTTGAGAGTACGGCGAGAGGAGCACATGGGTTGGAGGCCGCGCGGGTTCACAACAACATCCGAAGCGTCGAACAGGCTTGGGCAGGACGCGTCCCTAGTAGGTCAGATGTGGGCGAAGGTCAAGGAATGGAATGCATTTGAGACGGCGTCCACCGTGCGGATGGAGAAAACAATTTTAATGTTTAATACAATGTATAAGGCAATATATAGTATCGTAATTGTATAGTGAATATACAGCAGTGTGATATACAGTAGGGTGGATAGAATAATACATAGTGTAATATTACACTATGTATTATTCTAAGGTATAGGGTGGTGTATAGTAATACAGTATATAATTTAATGTTGGGTTTGTCTATGGCAGCATATAGTATGGGGCAGAGGTGTGGACTCGAGTCATGTGACTTGGACTCGAGTCAGACTCGAGTCATGAATTTGATGACTTCAGACTCGACTTGGACTTGCATAACAATGACTTTGTCCCACCTCTGAGGTGTGGACTCGAGTCATGTGACTTGGACTCGAGTCAGACTCGAGTCATGAATTTGATGACTTCAGACTCGACTTGGACTTGCATAACAATGACTTTGTCCCACCTCTGGTATGGGGTAGACCCGTGTGATGTAAGGGAAAAAAGTTTAGCTGGAAGCATATTATATTTTTTGCGACATAGAATTGTAATGTATTACTTACTGTTAGCAGCTCAGCTTATTGGAGAGTATATTTAGTATACTGATGATACTATGTAGTTTATACTTTCGTTTTTTACGTGGTTGTTTAGTTACTGCAGTAACATACTATTAACATTCCTTCCCTTTATTAATGCTACCCCTATCCCCTCCCTTTGATGCTGCTAATCCTGCATAATGCACGGGCATAATATGACTTTGAAAACCCCCCGCCCACCTCCTATGCATTTCACAAGTAGTACTAATCACATACCTGCATTTCCCATAAATATGCTAAATTCCTCTTGATATGCAAATTATTTTGTCAAGGCGCCCTTCCCCCCTTCCAACCCAGCTTAAATATACGCTCCAAGCGTGGTGGTGTTTCATTCAGACGCTGTCTCCCCGACAGACCTGATCTTCACCTGAGGACGGCTGCTTGCGTTGTGGCGAAACGTCGTGAGAATTATTTTATTATGTTTTATTTTTATTATTTAATTACTTCCCTTCTACGTGACTTTACCGAAAGAACCAAGAAGACACAAAAAGTGCTCGCCGCAAATGAATCACACTACCTTGCTGATCTCGTCAAGGAACATAAACCATCATGCGAACTCCAGTCATCCTCGCAGCAGCTTTTGGCTGGCCATTGAACAAAGATGGTCACCGCATCACACGCTTTCAGATGCGCTTCTGCGGCCGTCTGGAACGCTCTTCCTTTCAACATTAGTAAGCCACTGGAGCTATGCACTTTCAAATCTAAATGGAAAACTAATTTTTTGAGAAGTTATTTTAGTATTTAGTTTGGTGTCCTTCCCTCGCACCTCCGATCAGCACGATTGGCTATGTACAGTGTGAAAGAAGTTCAACATACACAAATACTACATACAACATCAATGGTTAATACTTCATATAGTGGCAAAAAGTATAAAAAAACAAAAACCTAGACTATTTTTTTTATTTTATCAGGTAAGGCCCACTGAGATGTATAGCTATTTTTCAGAAGCGACATGTCCATAAATGACAGCTAAACGAAGTGGCTTATCATGCGGAAATTTATACCAGCCAAATACTCTAAATGCATGTTTCTAAATGTGGAGGGAAAAACCGGAGGACCCCGAGAAAAATTCACGCGAACACGGGGAGAACATGCAAACTCGAAATATGCAGGCGTCAGGATTGGGATCGAACCCACGACCTCCTGTATTCCAGGCGAGGTAGTTCACACCTCGCCACAACAATACAAACGGACACACGATCGAACAGAACAGCTCTGCACGTAAGGCAGCAGGTACACGTGAACTCAAACGATGACGAAAACCACCGCCACTGGCCACTCGAGAACGGTGCCCGGACGGGGGGGGGGTGTGTGTGCACGTCGCGTGCGAGCTTTGTCCCCCGCCCACCACCCCCCCTCCCCGTGATGGAGCCTGCGGTGCCCCCCTCCCCCGTGCAGGCACCACGCCCCACTCGGCGCGCGACCTCCACGCCTCTTCCGCCCTCGACTCGGCCAATCTGTCGTGGGCCCCGGGCTACGACGGTGGATATGCCCAGCACTTCACCGTCTGGTACCTTCATCCACTCTGGCCGATGGGTTTAAGAAACCCCCCTTCCCACCCCTCCCCCCGCTTTATATTGTCGTTGAAGTTTCTATGTTAACATTGTTTTTAGAAATATATGTGTATGAAGCAATATGTTTCATGGCGGTGTATTAATAGGATTTGCATTCCAGAGGTCGCCGGTTAGATCTCCCGTAAGGGTGTCAGTACGGAATGACAGTGCGGTAAGGGGATTTATTTTAGTTCTTAAGAACGATACGATATAACGGTATGAGATTGTTTTCATCAGGTAGGGTACGAAAGTACGGTATATTGTACTCTCTTCATACACCAACTCAGTTAATCAGTTAATTTCTGATAATGATTCGTAATTTCAAGATAGGATCAAACATGTTCACGGGATATTTGTTTAGTTATTTTAAGAGTAAGGAGCTTTCTACAAACAAATTAATCATGCAAAACGATCAACTATGAATTTGCTTGTCGTTTATCCCTTATTTTCTAAGCTTTTTTTTCCTTAAGTACGATGTAAGGTTTGGAATTACAGAACACAATTTCAACTGCCTGGTGGGGTACAGAAACATGTTTTTAAGGTACGGTATGAAATTACTGTTCGATATTTTACCTTACCATACTGCCACCGTGGTTTCCTGGTGCGGCACTTGTAAAACTGGGCACGTTTTTGAACTCTGCCTCTCGACTAATTGTGGCGTAACTCATCTGCGGCCGTCTGGCCATTTATCGCCATCTGGTCAGCTTGGAAGAAGAGGCCAAATAGCCTCTGGAGTGGCTCTGTTAAGCTCCCTCCAGTGGAGGCTCTTCTACCTGGAGTGGCATGAGTACGCAATTGCCTTGGTCGATCCAGCAGTGTTCGTGGGTAAACCACAAATAGTCAGGTCCAGGTGTGGTGGGGTAAAGTGGGGGGTACTCCCACGTCTTCCGAGATGTATCCTGCAGCATAGAAGAGGTTGGCCACGTGCCCCCGAGAGAGGGGGCTCCACAGAGCTCCCTGTAGTGGCTCTTCCGCCAGCACGGCCACGGGGGAGGCAGTTGTGGGGCTGCCCCTTGCTACCATTTGCACACCGTCTGCGTGCCCACGCGGGCGTGGTTTATGTGAAAGGAGGGGTTCTGCGCCACGTTGTTTGGTGGGGGGGGGACGTGTGCCGCCAGGGTGAAGCGGCTCGACCGACGGCCGTCCTACTGGGACCCGCTGCCGGTGCCTGCTGCTCACTCGGAGATCACCGTGGGCGACCTGGAGCCCGGAAAGTTCTACCAGTTCAGCGTGCTGGCGCACAACCAGATGGGCAGCGGGCCCTTCAGTTCCATCCTCACCGTCCGCACGCAGTGTGAGCTCCTCTCACGCCGCCCACGTGGCGGCCGGTGTCGCGCGCCGAGATTGCGAGTCGCGGCCTGGCTCTGGCTCAGCTTCTATCACGGCTCGGCCCGGGCCTTGAGCCGCTCGGCTGTTGCCAAAGATGCACGAGCGGGCTGGCTCAGCCGTGGCTTGGCCTCAGGCTCAGGAATCCCGGGCGTGGCTGGGAACATGCTCCGAGCCGGCTCAAGTGAAGCGTGGATTTTGAGCCGTGGCTCACTTGAGTATAGAGCCGAGCTTGAGCCGTGCCGAGGCTAAGCAAGTAAGCAAGCATACGTGTTTTCGGCAGTGGTGCATGGCTCGTTGGGGGCTCTTTCGAGAGATTTAGACAAGTTGTAGCTAAATTAAATGCCGACAAAAATACATATTTAGTGAAATATGGGAGATATAGACAGGAGGCAGAGATGAGATATATATTTGTTTACCGTTTTTAGGTAGAAGGAGAATAATAAAATAATAAAAATAAAACATAATAAAATCTCACGACGTGCTGGCTCAGCCGTGGCTTGGTTTATTTTTATTATTTTATTATTTTCCTTCTACGTGACTTTACCGAAAGAACCAAGAAGATGAACCCTTGCATTCACGAAAGCTTTACATCGTTTTTAGGTAATTATCTTGACATGAAATGAAGATGTAGAACCTTTGAATCGTATCCCTTCTCAATGCGCGAGCCCTCGTACAACACCGATGCAGCTGCTGTGATGCCACAATCAGCCTCGCGATTTTCCGTGTTTTGCTTATTGTAATTTTACTAATCACTCAGCCTAGTGCATTATGCGAAAACCGTCGATAGTTTAAAATGATCACAATGCACTTCTTCAGGAATGTTTTACTTTTTTTTGTGCACCGTGCATGAGGTTTTGTGCTTGTTCATACACACTAGACTAGTTTTAGGTTGGCCATGAGTTTAGTGTACATTTTAATTTTAGCTCATGTCACTTTACTCACCCTTGTGACAGAGCCGGGCAGGTTTCTTAAATCCTTGTGTGCATGCGCGCACGCGCGCGTCTTTCCTTCGCCAGCCCCGTACGCCACGACGGCCGAGCCGCACGTGCGCGCGGGATTCAACTCGGCCACGCTGCCTCCTCCGCGGTGCCTCACCGCCAACCAGACGGAGAGCGCCCTGCTGCTCGCGTGGCTACCGCCACTCAACCAGAGCGAGGCAGCCTTCAACTACAGCGTGGAGTCGCGACACCGCTGGGCGGGCTGGGAGGAGGTGGAGACCGTGGCCGGGTCGCACACCCAGGTGGAGCTGCGCGGGCTGCTCAAGGTAACCGCCCCACGTCTCTCGCTTGTTCCGTTCCCGTTTGCGGGTTGGTGCCGGGAGGGGGAGGGCGGGGGGGGGGGGGGGTGGAGGGGGGGCAGTGGCAGGGGGCAGGGGGAGGGTCACACCATTAACGTTTGCCGTGGCTCGGAATCTGACTCGGGTCGCCAGGTTTGTAGTGCTGCAAGCTAACCAGTGTGCCGCTGCTCCACGTTTATAAAATGTTGAAATTATGGCTAAATGTACTCCCTCATTAGCATGGTTGGCTATGTACGGTGCAAAGAAGTTCAACATACCTATCCATTGCTGAATGAAGGCCTCCCTATGCCGTCACCATCCCTCAACGTCCTGGGATGCTACTGTTCATCTCGCTCGTGTGTAAGGAGCTGATTTCAAAGTTCCATCTCCTTCGTGGTCGTCCTCTTCGCCATTTTTAAATCCTTTATATTAAGTTCACTTGCTTGCTTGCTTGCTTGCGCGCTTACGACCGTGCAAATCTTTCGGTCGTTTTTAACCCACTTCCCGTGATCCAATCGAGCTGACATTTTGCACACAGACTCGTTGTGCGTGACAATTTATTTTCGTGAAATTTTTTTTCCAAAATTTTCCACTTTTTAGGGAAAAAATGTTTTCACTAACACAATCATATATTTTTCCTAAACACAGACAATTATTCAAGAATACAACAAAAATGTACAATATAAACAATCATACAAAAACTTAAAACCTTATAATCCTTATATACGACTTTCCTTATATTTAATTTAAAATACCAATGTGACAAAAATTAAACAGAAATGAATAATAAAATAAAACCGATGCCACGCATATAAAGGATTTATAGTGAAAAACTTTGTTTTTACGGGTTAATTTTTTCTCCTTTGGCTGCCAATCCATCGGTAGCCTCGTCCAATCGGCCATCCACACTGCTCAAGATGTGTTCCATTGTAGAGAATGTTAACACTATCCACAACAACGCTCTGTGGTTATCTTGTGGCGTGTACTACGTGGACCCTTGTTTCGAACGGAGACCCTTCGGAACGGGTGCTTGCCCACAAACATTGGGCAGTTCACCAACATTGACTCAAGCAAGCCTGACTAAACTAAACAGTTTTTAGTTTACCAGGTAAGGCCCACTGAGCTATATCAGGGCCGTATTATCTAATATACTGTCCCTAGGGCCTATATAGCAAGGATAGGCACAGTGTATATACAAAGAGGCAGAGTCATGTCAATGTCTTTTTTTCATAAGGTGAAAGAAATGAACACCGGCGAGCTTTTTTTCATTTCTAAAATTACCAAATAACATCTTCAAATGGTGTTTGTCTCACAATCTCAATCTCAATAGAGAACAGTGCAAAGGCAGACTGTGGCGTTGTTGCCCTATGGTTGATCGGAGACAGTTTTTCTTTTCATCGGCTTTAGCTTCGAAAAAGAACACTACCCTTCACATTTCATCCCCACCACGGCAAGATGCAGCCTGAGAGCAATGTCAACATTGGAAAGTAGCTGATAAGCTTGTCAGATATTTGGGCTTGGAGCACATCTGCCATACAAATGCTGCAGGAACAACAGGAATTCATCAGTGAATGATTTTCACATTGTGTAACAAAAAAAATGTTGTTCCTGGGTAATAAGTGTTATTTCCTAATTGCTTATTCCTCAAAAGTACAGAAAATAGTTATTATTCCCCACCAACTTTTCTTTTGGGACCAGGACAGTGATATTTTGAAATTGAACTATTTTCAATGAAAAAACGTGTGCATTTGTGTCTTTCGTTCACGTAAAGTCCTGGTCACAAAAGCAAAGTTTGTGAGGAATAATAGCCATTTTCTATATTTTTTAGGCATAAGCAATGAAAAAAACACTTAGTACCCAGGAACAAAAATTGTGTTACATTGTGAATTTTTCAAGATCTGGCAGTGGTCTATTGACAAGGAAAATGAATCGATTATTCAATCTGGCACATGCATTTTGCCATTTTTCTATCTCCACAATAAGTTGATCCACGATGTGACAGAAGCATTGGATACAGAATCTGTCACTTGGATTGTACGCACTGAAATCAGTGCCAGCAAATTGTTTCTTCTTTCGTGCACGGCTCTCTTTATAGCCAGATGTTGAGAGACCTCTGTCCACTGTTTCAAATTCCTTAAGCCTGTCACATCGTTTGTCTAAAAAGTGGTGCAAAAGTGCATCACAATGGTGCACAAGTCAATCCCAGCCTCCTGCAGACCTTTGTTTACAATGTTTGTCTTTGCAAAACATTTCAAATGGTAATAAACATGGGCAGTACCAACTGTAGAAAGTTTTACTGAAGGCCTACGAAACAGAAGTGCCTAGGGGCCTACAAGAACCTTACTCCGGCCCTGAGTTATATAGCTCTTTTTCAGAAGCAACCTGGCCACAAATGATAGCTGAACGAAGTGGCTTATCATATATAGCTGCCAAATACTCTTAACTGCCAATGAGACGCTGAATGTCGAAAACCTTTCCGGAATATGCTTGTCTTGAATCACTGCTGCAGATAAGGTGCACTCCCAGAATGCTGTGTGGCTGATGGGTTATGTAAATAATTTGTATTTCATGGTGAGGCAAGCATGGGAAGGAGGCGTGTGTGATATAATTAATTGTGAAAAAAATAAGATTAGGCTTTAGCCTTTCTGGCAATAAAACAGGAGGTGTTAATATGTTCAAACACCAAATAGAAACCTCTTGCAAGGCATCAAGTCTGCATTTACCACACGTACTTGTGGTGAACATGCAAACAGACATGCTCTGATAATGTACGGATGGGTGTCCCGTTCACTGCTAAATATTGGAACACACCAGTGGCTCGGCATTAATTTTATTTAGAGACACATAGCGCAGCTGTATTTTAACACATTGCTCTCACCCCAAAGAACCATAGCCACACGACTGCACTCTATAATAGTTGGCATCAAACTGTGCCACATGCCCTCCCGCATGGCCTTGCGGGAACCTTGGTACCGATAAAGTTATTTTATTTTGGTTTTCTTCGGGTATCTTTTATGATGACTTACACACGTACGTACGTCATTGGGACGGGAAAGTGTCAAGAAAAGTATGCGTAGCTGGGGCCGGGTGTTGTTGCTGATGCGCACTGCATGTCACGTTGCTGCGCTGTGTCCCCGCCGCCCGCGGCCCCCGTCTAGACCACGTGGTACGAGTTCCGCGTGCTCGTGGTGGCTGATGACGGCATCAGCGAGCCCACCAACACGGTCACCGTGTGGATGGCAGGTGGGTGGTGCGCGCGACGCATGGGGGACGGCCACCGTTAACGGCGACTCCCCTCACCGGCTGCCGAAAGAGAGACGCGTCCACAAACAAATTAAATCAAAACTTTTAAAAAATGTTACAAGGTAAGGCACTACTGTGCTGTATAGCTCCTTTTCAGAAGCGACCTGGCCTCAAATGATAGCTTACAAAGTGGCTTAATATGTGGAAATTTGGAGCAGCAGCCAAATATTCTGAGCGTGTGATGTTGATTATAAATGTGGAGGGAAAAACCGGAGGACCCGGAGAAATATGCACATGACCACGGGGAGAGAGACATGCAAACTTCACATATACAGGCGTCAGGGTCAGGATCGAACCCACGACCTGCTGTATACCAGGCGAGGTAGTTAACATCTGGCCACCGTGTTGGTCCTCTAAGCTGGACTCAATTAACTTGCTGACCACGCCCATGCTGGACATCTGTGAAAAAGAGCTTCATAGCTCATCAGATTCCTTCTACAGTCCAAATAAAGATTCTTATTCAGATGCCGGAATTCAAGATGCCCCTGACCGCACTCATGAATTTGATTTTCCGTGCGCTTGTGCGTGATCGTCTCACTTTTAAACCGCGACGCAGCAGTGCAGGCCAAGGAGGAGGGTGGTTCGCCGTTCGAACCCGATGGCCACCCCAGTTAATACTGCCGGTCTGTTATCCATAATATTGGGACTGTCTGCATCACAGCGGACGTTTAAAATCCCGTGGAAAAAAGGACATTGTAATAATAATTTCTATTTAAAAAGCGCCCTTAAACACTCGTTCTCAGGGTGCTTTTTTAAAGCTTCGGCGCAATGGCCAAGGTCCAAAGAAAAAAATTTATTGCACATAACTTAATTGGAGTGACATAGCAAACATTGGCCCCTCCTTGGAGACGAATGCCCACCGGCTGGCTGGTGCTGCGTGCCACCTCAAACCATGCGGCGGGGACGGCTGCCATCGGACCACCGCCCCCCCCTCCACCCTCCACAGATTATAACTACAGCTGAACTCGGACTTTGGAACGATTGAGGAGAGAGGTGTTGGCAATGGTTTTGACACGGTGGGGCATTTTAAGCGCCAAACCGGTTGCGTGGGTGTTTCTCTTGCCTGAATGTATTTGCCGCATTTGCACCGCCCCGGCCCCGACGTCGGTCCTGCAGGGGCGCTGTCCCCCACACGGCCCGCCCTGGAAGTGCCTCAGCCGATCCTTGCCGGGGTCATCGCCGGCATCTGCTTCCTGGCCATCGCGGTCCTCTTCAGCACCGTGGCGGCGTGCCTCATCAGCCGGCAGCGGCGCTCCCAGCGGCCCGGTGTGCAGCCACACGTCCACAATCGCACCGCATGCGCCTGCTGCTCGTTATCCTGACTCACGCACGCACAAACTCATGCACGCACGTGCGTGATTCTAAGTTTGCCCAAGGCTTTGTTGTCCTTCCCCCGCACCGGTTAGCACGGTTGGCTATGTACGGTGCAAAATAAGTTTAACATACATACGTACATTTATCAGCTTTTGGTTGTTTTCACTCCCAGATGCCATGCGTTTGCAGTCAGGATTCTACATTCCTCTGGACGTGTGTACCCGTTTAATTTCAGAAAGTCATTAAGAATGCAAAAAAGAACGGCAGTTGAATTTGCGCTCGTATGCCAAGACGGTTCGAGCACGGCGGACTTTGCAATCCAGAGGTCACCTCTTCGATCTCCCCCCATAACGGCCCTTGACAAAGTGGACAGTGGCAGCCATCGACCCCTTCTCGGCTAGAGACGATGGGCCCCACGCAGTGCGAGGGCAGCGGGTGTGGCCACTGATGGACTCTTCTTCAACGTAACCCGGCACACTCGGGGAAACTTGGCCACAGCATGGCGGGGGGGGGGGGGGGTCGGGGGAAATGCTGAGCCGAAGCCAATGAACGTGAGAAGGGAATCCAGTGATCATTGACGTCCTCACGCTTGTGAGGCGAAATATTTTATTTGAGAATTGAAGGCAGTCCGCTATTAAAATCGATCTTCCTGCTAGAAACCCAAACCAAAGTGCCAAATCAAACGTCATTATTATTACTACAATGCTCGTTTACTCACGAAAGACTCATTGAGTCTCCAGTCTTGCTAAGTTTTCACGGTAGGGGGGCAATGTTCCTGCTGCTGTGTGTGATCCCAATTGAGTAATTTGCAGGTAATTTTTCAGTATTGAGATATTTTGGCCAATCCCAGTTCAAATGTGTGTTTTAGCTATGGGAGGAAACCCATGCAAAACAGGGGGAGAACATACAATCTTTACACAGAAAGGCGGCGCTGTAGTAGGGAATTGAACCAAGGCCCTTATTGCTGAGGGTAACCATCACTCCACCGCCCTGCTACAAATTCACATTTAAAAAGGTTTGTTTTTACATTTGATACGTGTACGTGCAGAGACAGCCTGGAGATGTCGCAGCTTTTGCAAAAACGGAAATGGACGAATTCAACGTTTCCCCACTACCACGGCTGCACATCTTCCGCCAGTGTCTCCACACTTGGCCCTGATGTTTAAATCCACGTCTGTGTGCGCTCGCGCTTGTGTAACGATGAAACACTCGCCTCTCATGAATATGCGTGGCCACACCACATATAGAGCCAAAGTGTCAAAGTGATTTCCTGCTCAAGATGAACATGGAGGCGGTGCTCGGCTCCGGTTTACAGCCCTGAGCCTGAGGAAATTCCTCCTATCTACGGTGGGGACCAGTTTATCCATCGACGACCACTGTTGAATTCCATACAAAGTGGTACATTATTTTATAGACCCCAAAACAGATGATGATGATGGTCTGAGTCAAGTATGAGCACACCGCATAGTGTGCCGTTGCGCAGCAAAGCGTACCACACACCGATAAACACGGAGGGGGCTTCCTCTGGGCCTCTCACGTCGTGGATCTTCGATTTGAGTTCCGGTCTCATCCGTTGTCAACCCGTAGAGGAGAATGAGGTGAACGCCAAGTGCAGAATCATTCTTTGAACGACCGTGACCTCTGACCTACACCGCTTACCGTTGCTCGCGGCGCCTCCGCGGTTAGAACAAGTGTGGTTGCTTTTCCACGACTCAACCGGGCAGTGAGAACGATTTGGCTGTCACTCTAAACGCCAGCCGGAGTCTCGTTGTTTAGTCGGATTTATGTCCACGGGCTTCCGAAAACAAAATGCTCAATAAAGGAACTTTACTGAGAGCCATTACACACAATCTCTTTTTTTTTACCTTTTATTTTCATTTTCTAATTTTTACTTTTTTTACAAGGTAAGGACCACTGAGCTGTATAGCTTAATTTTGGAAGCCACCTGGCTATTACAAATAATAGCTCAACGAAGTGGTTTATCATCATGTGGAAATGTATAGCAGCCAAATACTCTAAATGCAAGATGATTCCAAATGAGGAGGGAAAAACCGGATGATCCGGCAAAAATCCATGCCACCACGGGAGAGAGATTGAGAGACACGTAAAATCCAAATATAAAGGCATCAGGGTCGGGATCAAACCCACGACCTCCTGTATACCAAGCAAGGTAGTTAACATGTCGCCACTACCACGGCTGCACATCTTCCACCGCATGCGGCGCTTCCATCGCGGCCAGCGCCTCGCGTCAAGACTCAAACGTTACCGTGCCGCACCGCGGTCTATCCTAGGGGGACCCACCGGTGGAAGCCGCCCCTGTGCGGCGCAGAGTGAACACAGCACCTGACCTGCAAGTGGGCTTTCGTCTGCCCGCAGGGGGACGATGTTCCCACGTGGTTTTTTTTCTTTCCTTTATTCGGTAGTTTACGAGATAAGTGGTCAAATTTGGTCCCTGACACCGACACGCGATGGCCAACTCTTTTTTTCCAGTGACGTCGGCGGTACCGTTAACCACGTCCACTGCGGAGCGAGGAGACTGGCTTCGCATTCACCCGTTCGCGCGTGTGCAGCATTAACCAAGGTGGTCACGGGGGTGCTTGAACCGCAAATCTCAACTGGACCATGTTGAAACAGGGAAGAAGGGGAGGGGGGAGAAAGGGGAGAGCCCTTCTCAGGCTTTGCATGGCCCGAATGTGCCTATCCGTGCAGAGCAGCAGGGTTTTCTGTCAACCAACTGGGGGTGCAGGGGAGGGGGATATAAAAGAATGCGTTCATCCCATTCTCGATCTGCAAATAGAGGAAGCATGGTCAAACTGCTTGGGAGCAGTTTGACCATGGTTCACCACGCGGGTCGGTGTGGGGTTGTTGAAGGGACACAGGGCAGGGACCAGTATGTACACGTGGTTGTCCTGAGATATGTTGCGGTTTGACACTGGAAGACCTCCACGAAGATTGGTAAAGACATGATAAAGGTTTTTGTTGGGTTAGTTCACGTAAATATGAATGTGTTGTTAAACCCACCACCACCCAACACAGGTGATTAGTAAAGGTTTGTCATATAAACAATTAGTTGCTAGTTCAGCACACCGGTTGTGTTCGAGAGTAAACTCACAACAGTTACAATTCAACACACTGCTGTGCAGTGGCGGACATTCAAACAAAATCACTGCAACGCGGTTTGAAAAAGAAGTAGGCCATCGTGTGTCGGCTTCGCGATCCAAATTAGAAAAACAACACCTCAGCTTAACTCGATTTGCTTTATGTACAGCAACCATCACCACCGCCCTCTCCTGTGACGTCACTGCTGACCGTGTCCATTAAACGCTGAGACGTCTTCGTGGTAGCCTCGCGCTGCTAAGAATGGCAGTGCGAATGCCAAATGTATACTATCAACTATCAGTGGGCAACTCCTTGAACTTCTCTCGCAAGCATGCAGTGGGTGAGGTCGAGACTGCGCATAACCGGTGCCTGTTGTTGTCCGTTCCAGTGCCTCACCTCTCCATCACCCACTGTAAGAAGAGGACAGAATCTGAGTGAGTGGAACGCACGATCCTCACCGCTGGTATTGGAGGCCCAGGGGCCCGTTGCGTTGTGACACCTCGAGTGAACGTTGCCGTCGATTTAAATGACAAAATTATAGCCATCTCTACGCGCGAGTATTTTTTCAAACATCCCATCGGCCAGACAGCCTTCCTTGGTAGCAGTGCTTAATTTTAGCAGCGAGCACTCGTGACCGGTTGTCATCAGTCAGCGTCTCGGCAACGCCGACGATGATTCTGAATTGGATCGGAAGCCCGGGGAGTGTTCCACCGGAGTTGTTTGGTGCAACTGGTCGCGGGCCTGGACACCGCGAGCCTGCCCTGGCCCCGCTACGGCACGGGTTTTATACAAGTCATGTTGCATGGCCCCTTAACCCCTGTTGTCGGTCTAACGCGTGGTGTACCGGCCCCTAACCGTGGTCTACCAGCCGCTAACCATGTTGTACCAGCCCCTAACTGTGGTATAGCGGTCGCTAACCAGGGTGTACCAGCCCCTAACTATGGTGTACCGGCCGCTAACCAGGGTGTACCAGCCGCTTCACCAGAGTGTAACCGGTCGTTAACCATGGTGTACCGGCCCCTAACCATCATGTATCGGCCGCTAACCATGGTGTAACGGTCGCTAACCATGATGTACCTACCGCTAAACACGGTGTACCTACCAGTAACCATGGTGTACCTACCACTAACCAACGTGTACCTACCACTAACCATGATGTACCTACCGCTAACCACGGTGTAGCGGCCGCTAACCATGGTGTGACGTCACTACACAATAACCTCCACCATGGTGAAATATGGTGCAGGCCGGTCAGCCCCACAATGCAGTGTAGTGGAGAGATACCCACGGACCAGGCTTTTAAGGGCCGAAGCAATTGTACTTCTTTGCTTATGCTGGGTTACAGACAGTAGAGGGAGAAGTGTGCAGCCCCCACCCCACTAATAGGGCCCCAAACCCCCTGAACTCACAAATCAACAGAAACACACATGGCTCACTCTCTAAAACACTTGCTCCTATGACCCTATGCAATCCCACCACGCACACACACCACGCATACCAGCTCAGTAGTGGCGGTCGTTATGCCGTTTCACTATTTTATACACAGCACCAAAACCTATTCCACTGTCCACACACACTGTAGACAGCCCACGGATATCCCCGAATAGCTACACCGCATATTAAATCCATGGGACGAGGAAACCAGCAGTGAGATATTAGGCGTCGGTCCCCGAGGCCTACAGTAGGCTGGATCTTGATTCCTGCCTTCTCCTTTCTAATCCTCACTCCAGGCCTTGGGCCTTCGCTCCCACCCCAGAGTGAGCTGCCTTGGTCGCTCAGCTCACTGCTGCTGCTGGTGCTGCTGCTTATTATTCTTCTGCTGGTGCTGCTCTAGCAGCCAGCCCCTTTCATACTGGAAGGTGCCAGTGGGGGTTGTCACCCCGCCCCTAGCCACATCCAGATTATTCCAGGCTCTTCTCTCCAGTATCCCCAACACCGCTTCACCTCCTGTACCATCATTCGACACCACTGTGAACCTCATTATATTGTATTTGTTACACAAGGTGTACCTACCGCTAACCATGCTAACCACGGTGTACCGACCGCTAACCATGGGCTACTGGACGCTAACCACACATTCATTGTGAAAAGGTAAAGGCGTAGTCCTGTAATTTCTTGGTACGGTCGCTGCTGGCGGAAGTGTCTCCACCCTGGGAGGGTCGCGTGAGCCTCTATGAAAGTTGGCGTTAAACCACTACGGTGCGATGAACGCCCGAGTCGCGAATGAAAAGACGTATGCTCGCCGTCATTGCTCCTGTCCATTGCGCGGGTCACGGTTGTTGGTCCTAACCACCGGGTGCCCTGTACGTCTCTCTGTACGACTAACCTTCACCATCACCACCGTGTCGCACATTGTGTGAGCAGCACGCACCAGCACGCCGCTCTCCCCCTGTTCTTCACGGGTATCCTCTGTGCGCTACGGTTCCCTCCAGGAGTAAAAAAAAAACACTCGCTATTTAAGTGGTAATAGTCAAACATCCAAATCCTCACAAATCACCTGCAAATTACTCAATTGGGATTTAACACGAAGCAACATCCCCTCCTACTGCAGTAACTTGGCACGACCCTCGGTTGGCTACAAACGGTGTGAAATAAGTTCAACAAAGAGTCTCAAGACTCTTTGCCAGGAGGTTTTCCTAGGTAAAGAAACGCAATAAATAAAATATAATCACCGGTGGTCATTAACTACTGTCACGCATAAACTGTCACGAAAACTCTGGTCATCCGCGCAGCAGCAGCAGCTTTTAGCTAATCATTAAACAAGGGCGGCCACTGCAGTGTACGCTTTCAGATGCACTTCTGCGGCCGTCTGGAACGCTCTTCCTTCCGATATTAGGAATCCGCTGGAGCTATGCACTTTTACATCTAGATTGAAAAATAATTTCTTTAAAAATGCTTTTTTGTGTTTAGTTTGTAGTACTTCCCCCGGAACCTCTGATTAGCACAGGTGTCTAATTACAGTGCGAAAGAAGTCGACATATATACAGACAAAGACAAATCGTGTTCTTCATGCATTTCACTGAGCGTAAAACTCTTGGTGCTGATTTCATCTGAGAAATCCCAGGTGCAACTGTAAAAACAACAGCCCAGACACCCATGTGAATGGCTTGCCTATGCAATGTGTTGATTGTGGCGTTTAGCAAAATACCGAATGTTGTTGGAACAACAACAAAAACTGCGATTGAACGGCGCTTTTTTTGTCTCGAACATTGAGCCAATTTTAATAGAACAAATGGGTGGCAAATGTGATTAATGTAAGAAAAAATTGTTATATTTTCGTCACATCCCTTGACTTCTATCACGGAAGAGGTGGCCGGTAATGCCGTGGCCAGTGGAGGTGACGAGACACGGGCCTTCCCCTACATCGTGCCCCAACACACCGGCGCCGCCACCTGTGATTTGCGTGCCATATTTAATCATGTGCCGTCGCTCTCTACTTGAATCTCGTGGTGCTTAAGTCAAGACTGAAGTGCAATGCAATTTAGATGTCGAGCAGCTTGATGCTGTCGGGAGTCGGGGGTGACTGGTGTCTTAGGGTGTGGCTGCAGGTGTGGGAGGTGCAGCAAGTTGGCCACTGCCTGTAGGTGCGTGAGCAACAGGCCGGTGCCTGCCCTTTGTCAAAGGGAAGGGGAGTGGACGTCTCTTACCAGCAGAGGTGCTGAGGACAGTGCTAGCGCTGGTGAATTATATGCAATTCGTGAGGGCTCGGGGCACTGGAATGAGGTTCAAGGCAACGTAATTTGAATGTAAGCAGCGTCTGGACACGGCATCTGGAGACGCGTGTAGACTGCGTTACAATGGGAGAGCGCCTTTGCTCCGAGAGCACATTGCACATGCACGTGAAAGAAGCCTGTGTGACGCCGATGATCGTGGATTGATTTCAAAAATTGTTGCTTACTTGGTGCTTCCTTTGATGATACGGTAACGGTGTCAATCGCACTGCGGTGTGACAACGGTGAAGATGACGTGCACATGTTTCACTTATCGTGTTACAAATAAACCATTGTTTTTTGCTACATGCTCTTTCGTGTTGCCGAATGTGACGTGGTTCGGGATGCCGTTTGACCCTCGGACAGACGCATAGACAGACACTCGGACAGACATGCGATGGCGCAGGGCTCGCTGTCTCTGAACCCCCCCCCCCCCCCCCGCCTTACTACGCAGAAACGTTCCGACAGGGAATGCACGACCCTGCGTGCCTGGCGACTTGCAGCAGCAAGCTCGACGTGAGCCAGGCCGCATGAGTCAGGCCAGTAGAACTAGCCAGCTAGAGCCAGGCCGCTAGAGCTAGGACGTGTGAGCCAGGCCGCTAGAGCCAGAGCCAGGCCGCGTGAGCTAGCCCACTAGAGCCAGACCACTAGAGCAAGTCAGCTAGAGCCAGGCCGCTAGAGCCAGCCAGCTAGAGCCAGCCAGCTATAGCCAGCAGTGCGCGACGGTTGGCGAGATGTTAACTACCTGGCCTGGTATGCAGCAGGTCGTGGGTTCGATCCCGATCCTGATGGCTGCTGTATATTTGGAGTTTGCGTGTCTCTCTGTATGTGCCACAAGATTAGCCCAGTCCCCCTCCAACACTATGAGCTCCATCGTGAATGAGGATGCATCTCCTCTAATCCGTCTCCAAAATCACGTGGCTGTGTAGGTGCTGGGGGGCCCAGAACCAGTACAACTGCGATATCCGATGCAGTGTGATCCTCACGTAGTGTAACATTGTCCCTGTACTTCACTCACGAACGAAGTCAACCGTGTCAGCTGTTGGCAAGTTATTAGATGGCAAATAAATACTTTTTTGGGTCTGGCTACGTAATAATCTGGCCGGTTGTTTTTTTGTATCGTGAAACATTCCCACCTCCCCACACAGCCAAAACAAGAGACGATGAATTGTCACCCGGATAAGGGTCCAACGACACGCGCCGATTCTTGACGGTTCAGCTCACACCAGGGACGATTCTCACAGTCAAATCGGGCGACTGGATATACATAACATTTTTGCTTTTGCAACTGCATTGAGTATCTTCAGGTCTTGAAAGCAAGTAAAAATAACCCTGTTACCTGACCTGACTTCTTAAATAGGTATCACCACATCGCATAACCAACCGATTTTGAACACTCCACAGTAAGCCGCTGGAGCTGTGCACTCTTAAACCTAGATTTAAAACTCATTTCTTTAGACACTGTTTTTTTGTGTTTAGTTTGTTGTCCTTCCCCCCCTCCCCCCGCAGCTCCGATTAGCACAGTTGGCTACGTACATCGCATGTTAGCGCTCTTACACCACGTGGAAATTCAATTAATTTGGCCGCGTCGGGTGGCGGAGGGTTACACAACAACGTATGAGTCATAATATCGGCGGCAATGGCGCGTTTCGTTATTCTGCCATTTACTCGGACATCGTGAGCGGAGGTGGTCGACTCCACTCCTCGCCTGCGCACGGTGAGGCCTTGTCAATCCCCCGCACATCGTCGGTTTGTATCTCTCATTTGGTCTTTGTTTTCAACGTTAGATTTTTTAATTGAGAATATTTTTTCAAACATCTGTTTAATATAATTATAATCTTAGTTTGCTGTTCAAAGTTCGATCTGGTGTGTTTTAGGTTGTTTTAGAAGCTGCACGCTATATTGTTTGATTTGCCGAACTTTTATTGCCGCCTGCGATGTATGTTACCTATCATGCAGGTCTCGCCTGGTTATAGCTCCTCGCGATCCCTCTTGTACCCTCCCGACCATAACGGGAAATCAACTCAACACGTATAATGAGAAAAAAACATTATAATAGGCGACGTTATGGGCAATGGCCCTTCTTCACAGCACATAGAAGAGGCCCAAATGGTCATAATCGAAAGTACGGAAATGCATCGCAGGCAGACAGCGAACACGGCCTGAAGCCACAACCGTTTGTGGGGGGGGGGGGGGGGGGAGAGGAGACCCCTTGAGGAGTCGCCATCCCCGGGCAGGCGTCGCTGCAAGCGTAATCATAGTCAGGGACCCCACCTCCCCCCGCAGGCCAGCGGTAGACCCGGAGCCTACATCCGCACAGAACGGATGGGCGACCTCCGTTGACCTCGCAAACCGCGTGCCGTCTGCAGGTCTTCTCTGGACAAAGCGAACGGAGCGGACCGGACGCGCGCCGGCTCGCGGGAATCCCGCACGGGCCTCGAGACGGACGATGACGACAACGACCAGGAGCCGTTCGGCGAGGCCATGGGGGCGGCCGCGGCGGCCGTGGCGTCCGCCGACGGCTACGCCAGGACGGAGGGGGCGGGCGGGCCCGGCGACGGGCGGCACGCCGGCGGGCCGAAGTTGTCGCTCTACGAGAAGCTGACACGCGGCTCCGGCCACGGCCGCTACAGCGTCTCCAAGCACGAACGCGACGCGCGGCCCATCGAGCTCATCAGCCGCGGGCCCGACGGGCGCTTCACTGTGGACGGCGAGGAGGTGGAGGAGGTGCCGCCGTCCCGGCGAGCCGAGACGCAGGACGAGCGGAGTCCGCGGTCCGAGCGGAGGATCCGGGGCTTCCCCTTTGTCCGCGACATGGAGATGTACCCGGAGTTCCAGCACTCGGACATGGAAGGGGAGGCGGCGGCGGCTATGGGGGGTAGGAGTCTCCCTCCCTCCTCTTGCTCTCTACAGCTGCCCAGTCAGCAGTAGAAATTGGAAAACTGCAATCGATCAGCAGGTCGCGTGTCGTGGGCCAAAGCATAGGGTACGTCACACCTCTTACAAAGTAGGCCAATTACCCTCTAGAGGGGCTCTCTCCAGGGGGTTCCACTAGTGGAGGCCGTTCTGCCAAAAGTGGCATGAGCAAACAATTGACACTTGCAGGGCTGCACCTTCACCTTATTATCTTTTGTCAGAAATCGGCCAAAGATTATTTGCCTGTGGAGCTCTCCTCCCAAGCGCGAATTTACTTGTCCACGGCCTCGTCCCTCCACGTTGTTTCAGACAGGAAGCGGTGTGGCGCTGTGCGGTGCAGAATCAAATGACCATATTCACGAGGGGTCGCGGCGGCGATGATTGTGTGCGATGGACGTGTGCCAACTGGCCACCGCGTGTGCCCGCCAGGACCGCCGCGTGGCTCGCAGTTTGGCCGGGAGGTGAGCGGCACGTCCAGCCGCTCGCCATACGCCCACCACGCTGATGCCGGGAGGTCAAAGGGCATGGAAGCAAGGCACCCCAGGGGTCAAGGGGAGGACTCGAGGTTCCTCTATGGCATCGGAGCGCAAAGGCAGCCGGTACGCACCTCGCCCCCATCGCGCGGCTTCTCGTGTGCAGTCAAGCGCAGCTGGATGTGTATTCCAGTCTGCTCGGTCAGGGACAGACGACCTGTGTTGGAGTTTGAGTTGGGATTTGGCCAAAATCACCTGTAAATTGCTGCCCAGGTACTCACGTACCTCTCCCAGGTGCATTCGGTTCGTCCCGTGTGATGTTCAGCACGATGTCCGATGTTTTGCTTCACATGCTAGGAGCTTCTTCAGGAACCAAATTATTACCTGAATTGTCCCTGAAAAAGCTCCCAGGACGTGGAGCGAAACATCGGACATCGTGCCAAACGACATATGGTATGAACTTAAAACACATCGGAGAGCTATGCAGGAATAATGACGTGGAATCTGTTGATATGAGACACTCAATATTATATGTATTCCCTGTAGGTGTGCTGTGAAATTTGAATTCTTGTATAAAATTACTGTACGTGCCCTCAATTAGCATCTTGATGTTACGAATCAAACCTGAATTATAATGATAAAATATACAAACGTTCACAGGAAATGTATAAACTTTAGGTGTTTTTTTTTATGGAAGGAAAGTTGTCCGAGAGTAAAATATCTCAACGGTCACTGAATGGCAAACGAGATCGGCGTTATACTATTTCGGATTTATGAATTTGTCCAAAGATTTTTTGTTCTCTACCGGGAAAATCATTTGAGGTGGAACGTGTCATTAGCCAGGGTGTCCGGGGTAACAACCGACGTGTACATGGCGTGGACTTCGTGACGCGCACGCGATGATACGCATGTACGCGGTGACGCGCATGTGGTGACACGCACGCACGTGGTGACATGCACGCACGTGGTGACATGCACGCACATGGTGACAAGCACACATGTGGTGACACGCACGCACGTGGTGACGTGCGCACTCGCTCGCGCAGGAGTCGGAGGTGATCGGCATGCTCGAGGGGCCGCTCCCCATGCCCATTCGTCAGCGCAGAGCAGCCCACGAGCCCGGCCACGGCCACGGCCACGGCCACGGCGGTGTGGGCAGGCCCAGCGAGGGCTTCGAGAGCGCCGTTCCCATCCTGCACGTGGAGAGCCGCCAGAGGTCCTTCTCTCCCGGCCAGTGGCGGAAGCTCGTGCTGTCCATCAGCAGCGCGGGCACCTCGCCCGACCTCTCCTGCTCGCACCAGGCACCCAGCTCGCTCCTCGTCTACCCGCGGTCTCCTACCCGCTCCCCGGCGGGATTCTCCGTCTCTCCGTCGCGCTCCGCGTTGGGATACTCGTCGTCCCTGTCGCGCGCCGCCGCCGGTTACCCCGCGTCACCCACCAGGGGGGCGGCTGCGGGCTACCCGGCGGGACCGCCCCGCTCACCCGCGGGCTACGCCGTGGCGTCATCGCCGCCGCGCACGCCGGCGCCGCGCTCGCTGGCGCCGCGCCGCACTGCCACGGCGTACTCGGTGTCGCCCCCCCAGTACTACAGTGTGTCGGGCTGGGAGGAGACGCGCAGCGGCGGCGGCACCTCGCCCAGCGGGGACATCAAGGCACGGCTCAACGTGCCACCCAACTATGAGGACCTGGTCCACCTGGAGCCACCGTCACCACGGCTCCAGCGCTCTCCCCGCAGCGGGCCGTCCTCCTCGGTCTCCTACTCGGGGACGCAGCCCGAGCTGCGCGCCGGCATCAGGTTGGTGTTGCGTTCGCAGAGCCCCCCCCCCCCCCGTGTCACACTCACAGACCCCCCCCCGTGTCACACTCACAGACCCCCCCCCGTGTCACACTCACAGACCCCCCCCACGTGTCACACTCACAGACCCCCCCCCCCCCCGCGTGTTGTCCCCGGCGGCTGTCCCTGATTGCAAGCAGCTTCGATCGCCTTGAGCAATTCCTCCGACAAACCACATCCCCTCGTATATAGAGACACAAAGACATCCTTGTCTCATCCCACAGAGACACAGTGACACATCTGTGGTGCGAAAGAAGTTCAAAATACATACATACATAGGCGGAAGCAGTTAAGTTTCCCCCACTGATGCTGTGGTACATCAAACAGTGGATAGATCATGGCTGCTGCTGATGATAAATATTTTGTTATCCTGTTTGTTTTACATCACGGCAATAGTCTGTATAACAATACTTCTAAGTTCGTCTGTTCTTATGCCATATATTTTAACAAGCAGAGATAAGTCAACTTAACACGTTCGCAGCCAACATTATGATTCAAAATCGATTTTTGAGCGAGTCCATGTAATGATCTAGCCAAATTTGTGTTATGAAGACCCGAGGTCAGGGGGTGGAGGGTGCTAATGACACGGATTCTGCAAGATCATCAATTACAACCCAAAATATTAGCGATGAATCATCGAGGTAGGCTGCTACTGATAATCTATTTTTATTTTACCAGGTAAGGCCCACTAAGCTATATAGCTCTTACTTCAGAAGCGACCTGGACACAAATGATTGCTCGACGAAGTGGCTTATTGTGTGGAAATTTATAGCAGGCAAATACTCTAAACGTATGTTGATTCTAAATGTGGAGGGAAAAACCGGAGGATCTGGAAAATAATCCACGCGAACACAGGGAGTGAGATAGAGACACGCACAGTCCTAATATACAGGTGTCAGGGTCGAGATCAAACCCACGACCCTCTGCATACCAGGCGAGGTAGTTAACATCTCACCACCATGGCGCCGATAGGGGCAGCAGCAGAACGTTGTCTCTTGGGCTCTGCAGGATGTCGACAGCCATGCCTCCCAGGGACATTCGGATGGGTCGGGAAGACATCCCGTCCGCGATCGCGGCTCTGGGCCCTTCGAGCGCGATGAGCCATGGTCCTCAGCCCTTCTCAGGGCCCGAGTACAGCGCCCCTCCCCCGTACCGCCCACCGCGGTTCCACCCGCCGGCCCTCGCACCCCGGTCGGAGCCGGGCGGTGCTGGCGCCGTTGCGGCAGCCGCCGGGAAGAGCAGGACAGAGCCGCGGGAATTCTCCGCCTCGCCCAAGGGGGACGTCCTGCCCGGCACGTCGACCAGCGAGGGTTCGGCCGGCGTGGGGTCCTCCTCGGTGGGCGCTTCGCCGCGCTCGACGCGGCGGCCCGAAGCACGGGCGGCCTCGTCCACGAGGACGGAGGACAGCACGCCCGAGGAGGAGGACGAGGGGCTGAAGGAGGGGGCGTCGGCGTTTCGGAGGAAAAGCAGGTACTGTCCTCGCAGCGACAGTGATGGTGAGGGTGACGGTGAGGGTGGTGTCGCTCCCCCTGCGCGCCTGCGCCGTCCGAGAGCGCTCTCCCTCCATGCGACGGGCAACTCGCGTCTCGCACCTCGCCATGTTTGACAGCTGTCTCTGCGCGCAGCGGTGGCGAGATGTTAACTACCTCGCCCGGTATGCAGGAGGTAGTGGGTCCGATCTTGACCCTGATGCTTGTATATTTGGAGTTTGCGTGTCTCTCTCCCTGTGATCACGTGTATTTTTCTACAACTCCTCTGGTTTTTCCCTCCAGATTTAGTATCAACGTGCGTTTTAAGTACTTGGCTGTTATAAATTTCCATGTGATAAGCTACTTCGTTGAGCTATCATTTGTGATAGCCAGGTCACTAAAATAAAAAAAGTTTTAGGTAATAGTTAGCACAGTGTGAGCCGGGACCTGACCTGCAAGCGGGCATCAGTCTGCTAGTAGTGTGGGAGAGGGGGGAGCTTCGTGTAATCTCATTGGCACGAAATATTTTCCGAATGGTGCAAATTTGGACCATGACTCCAGCACGCAATTTGCCAGATTTATCTCGATTGACACCACGTGATCTTTAGCATCCACTGCGAAGGAGATGGCGCGTAGTATTTTTTGGTTAATGCGCGTTGCAGTAATAACCAGGGCGGTCGGCTGGATTCGAACCGAGGACCACGAGCCTCTGCAGTGAGCGGCGAACTGGTGTTGAGGATACCGCCGCTGCTGTGGCGTAACGGTGAGCGCATAGGACTGTGACGTAGAGGTCACCACTTCAATTCGATCTCCTGGTGCGGTGGGCAAAGCTTCATTAACCCCCTCCCCGCCCCCCCCCATCCCCCCGCCACCTCTGTCCACTCGGTGGCATAAACGGGTTACACCACAGCCAGCCGATCGGCAGCAGGTCGCGTGCGGCGGCGTAAAATATGAGCACTCCCCACCAACCTCTTCCAAGACGTCTGGCCGGCCGAAAAGTAGGCCAATAATCCTCCACAAGGGGCTCCATTGGGCTTCTAGGGGAGGGCCCCTTTTCGCCAGCAGTCGCGAGAGCAGGCGCTTGTGGAGCGGCCGAGCGAGCCGGTGCTCCGTTGACCCCCTTCCCTCCCGTGTCGTCACCCAGGTCGGAGGACCCCGGTGACGCTGGGGATGCCCCCGGGCAGTTGAAACCAGCAGCGCCAGGGTGATCACTTCTCATTGCAGTCACAACCATCATGCACCCTCTAACAGTATGACATGAACCATAGCCACCACACTGCCAGGGACAACGCACTCACTCACCCTCTTGCTCACCTAACCACCCCACTCACCACACTGTCCGTGACAACATACTCACTCATCCTCTCGCTCGCCTAACCATCCCACTCCACTCACCACACTGCCAGTCACAATACACTCACTCACCCTCTCGCTCACCTAACCACCCCACTCACCACACTGTCCGTGACAACACACTCACTCATCCTCTCACTCGCCTAACCATCCCACTACACTCACCACACTGCCAGTCACAATACACTCACTCACCCTCTCGCTCACCTACCCACCCAGCTCACTCACTACACTGTCGGCCCCAACACAATCACTCACCCTCTCACTCACATAACCACCCCACTCACTCACCACACTGCCGGTGTGTTGGGTCTGGCTTCGTAACGCTATTTATATTGACAACAATTATAACCCTCTTGTAAATAGCCTGCAGAAAGGGCGTTTATAATGTGAATCGCATTCAAATCTGGGAGTTTGTCAGATTGTTTCAAGCAATCCTGAATTGCTGATGAGACAACGAATGTTGAAACTGGTCCGGAGTTTGCTTGTGTTGAACCAATGGCGCTGACGAGACGCACACCCAGAATTAATCCGTGCGGCCCATGGGGTCGCGCGAGCGTGGAGTGACAAGGACGGGAAGGAAGCGTTTATTATGTTCTTACTCTTCTGCATGGCGACGTTTGACGATGACGACGATGATAGTGGCTGCGTTGTGTTTGGTAACAGTTGAGTTGAGCTTGGTTTGAGTGTGCTGTGTGTTGTTTTTCTGCGAAAGACTATTTTTATTTATAATAGTTTTTTGCTGTTGTCCTGTACAGCGTTATGAGATGTAGTTTTGCATGAACGACGCTGTATACATTTCAATTTTTACTATTATTAGCGGTTTGTTTATTTGTTGTTCCTTCATGTTCGCAGGGGCGGCACGCCACGAAAATCCTCGTTAATTTAGGTGAGAAACATTTCCTTCAAGATTATTATTATAAACTTGAACTTTGGTTGAGAGCAGAAGTAATCATGATATATCTTTTTTTAAACCCCATGAAGGTTACATTTTAAACGGAACCGATTAAATGTTGAACACTGTACGCTACTCCGAAACCTGTTGAATGTTTATATGCTTTCAAAGTGTGGCTGTTTAACGCGAGCGCCACTGCATTTGTCCGGTCAGCAGCATTACAAACGGGCCACGGCGTGTTTTGTCCAATGTCCTTCACTAATTTTCAGAAGGGGGGCCACGTTTGCCGATAAGACATCATCAGTGTGAGGGCCGCCACACGTTTGAAACCATTGGGGGTTTGACAGCAGCACGATGATGGTGGGGGGTCTTTCACACGTTGTGTTTTGGAGGGGGGTTGCACTTCAGGAGCCGCACTAAAAGCCACCAGGGGCCACCAGTGGCTCACGGTGGGTTAAAGTGTGGGTTACTTCCATTTATTCCAAGACTGGCCAGGGTGGAAGAGTAGAACCAAAACGCCCTCCAGATCAGTGCTTCCGAACCCTTCTGGACTCGCAAACCACGGTTAGTCCATCGCGCAGTAAAGGATCTGGTGTTTGTGGACAGAAATGTATTTTGTAAAGTACGCCCCTCGGCATTGTGGGTCAACCAGTGGTCCGGGGACCACAGGCCAGGAACCGTGTAACCACCTGAGATCTCAAGAGACCAAGATGAGTCTGGTTTGCTCGTGACTCGGGGTATTAGTCTGCCAGTAGGGTGGTGGGGGTGGTGATGGCTGCCGCTGTGTGCGTGATCACAGTTGAGTCGTTTGCGGTGTAATTTTCGAATTTGTCAAATTTGTACCTCGACGCCGGCACACCATGGCCTTCTCTTGCGAATTACGTCAGGGAAACGTCAATGTTCGCTGTGAAGCAGATGGCGCGGAGTGTAATTCCAGTTAATACTCCGGTTAATACACCAGCAGTATTAGACTAAACTAAATGTTTTTACTATTTTTTATTTTACCAGATAAGGCCCACTAAGCTATGTAACTCTTTTTTCAGAAACGACCTGGCCACAAATGATAGCTCAACAAAGTGTCTTTTCGTGTGGAAATTTATAGCAGCGAAATACTCTTAAACATGTGATGTTGATTCTAAATGCGAATGGGAAAACCGGAGAACCCAGGGAAAAATCCACGCGACCACGGGGAGAGAGAGAGGACATGCAAACTCCAAATATACAGCAGGTGTCATGGTCGGGATCGAACCCACTACATCCTGTATGCTAGACGGGGTAGTTAACATCTCACCAAAGTGGCACCCATGGTGGTGAGATGTTAAGTATTAACCAGGGCAGCCGCTGGATTCGAAGTGTGAACCCCTGCAGCAAGTGGCGAACGCGTCCACAGCCCAAGAATTACGTCTCGAGTACGTTCTGCCAGTGCTACCATCCGCAAGCTATTTCAGGGACTATTGTCTTTACCCAGAATGCCTTGTTACCAGCAAAATAATATCTGTTAAATATATTTTGCTGGTGAATAAAACCTGGTTAACGTCAATGTTGTCGTTTTGGGCTGGGACTGCCGATTCGTGATCTGTGTTGTGTTACGATTACGCACATATGTAACGAATGAACAATAATACTAATAACAGTCATCATAATAAGAATGGCCTTGTGTTTATTTTTCCATAGATCAGCGGATCTCCTGACACGATCCATCACAATCACCTGAGCTGCAAATGCCTGAGAAATTACTACCTCAGTACCAAGCACACGCTGCTTAGAGAGCGAGAGAGAGAGCGAGAGAGAGTGAGACAGATACATCTGTCATGACGACTGAAGGGAAATCTCCAAAACACACTCATACACAGAGATACAGCAGTAGTAGCAGCAGCAGCAGAGAAACAGGTGTGTGTGTGTGGCTCGCAGTAAGAGCTGAGGAACATTGACAAACGCGACAAATGTTGGCCAACTTTTATCAGCCTTAATTAATAACAACATAGCTCTATGAACTTGAACAAAAAGGCACATGACGACTACACCCGTGACAAGCAGCAGGTAATGCCGTGGCGACGGTTGAAGCTCGGCGATCATCCACCGTCCTCGACGAAGGAAGAAACCCCCACGCTCTCGCCGGGGTTCTGGGAAGACGCTCGCTATGCACCGCCAATGTCGCTGCGCGCCTTGTCCCCCGGTGGGGGTGAGGGGTAGGGGGCGGGGGGGCCCAGCTGGGCTCGGTTGGGCGTCGCGGTGCCCCCCCCCCCCGTTCAGTTTCGTCGGCGCTCAGCCGACTACTCCGTGGCAGCCATCTTGTTTCCCGATCGCCCTCCACCTCGCGCACGCACGCTCGAGTTCCACATGCTCCAAATTGACATACGGTTGTCGTGCGTACAGTGAATTTTATAATATATTGTGCGTTATTATTTAAAACAAAAGTGCTAATTATTTGACATAACCTGAAATTTTTTTTTTTCAAAATAAACTTACAGTGCTGAGTTTGGCTAATTACTAGTTAATGAACATCTAATTTATTTCTACTGACACTTCATGGTGTTTTGATCATTTGAATGGTTTTATGTGGCGTGTTTTGCAAATACTCTACACCTAAACCCAACGTAGGTTACGTCTGTTTACAAGACATTCAGTCAACTTCTCATCTTTCGCCACTTAAAAGAAAGTGACTTCCAGACGTCGCGAACGATTGGCGCGCTGCCGAAATAAGTAGGCTGAGAGGTCTTGATGAAATCGAGACATTAATGAAATATATAAATACAGCAGTATTCAAACGGTGCTCTTTATTTAATACAAGTTAGCCAAGTAGATATTGTAATTTTGTGTTTAAATTTTACGAATATAAAATGCATATTTATAAACAAAAAATGTACTTATTTGTACATAGTACAGGATCTATGTCAACCGGGTGACGCCGCTTGCCCCGGTCGCTAACGCGGCACGCACTTAGTGTTGGCGGAATGGTGCGGAACTATCGCGACCCATTGGTTACCACTCGCCGTGACACCACATCCATTGCTAATGCTGACAGCTGTAGTATTAAAGAGGCTATTGCAACTGTGGCATTGCGCGCACATTCACACTCACCGGTGAGATGGCCTATGGTGCTGTAACTTTCACGTATAGAGTTTTGTAACTGACCTGGTGCTACCGCTGCATAAACGTTATGATACAACCCGCCCGGGAGGAAACATCTCTGGAATTCGTTCCGCACTGCGCGCGTGTGTTCGTGTAAAATACGGCGTGTCTTTTATGCCTTACGGAGAAAGTAGAAAAAAACTGCCTGTTTATTCACCAACATTGACGGACATTACGAACGCCAAATTATTTTTGGGAAAAGCCGGCAGAATTCAAACACGTGTAAAATCAAATACAGAGGATAACCACGTTCTTGAACAATATTTTAAAAGACGCTCCAGAAAGTAACACGGAGGCTGCCCGAAAATTGAGTCCGGTGTCAATACAGTTACATAGATCTGGTGACAGACAAAGATTCCCCACGTAGCCTTTCACATACTGTTGGGGCAAGTGCTGTTAGCGAGCACCTATGAATGCAGACACGGCACACGTGGGGGTGGGTGACCAACACCATGCCTTTGTTTCCCCAGTGATGATGTTTACACATCGCCCCAGATACTCATTTGAGGCCGCGTAGACCTAGGGGAGGCCCAGGAGCGATATAAATATTCTCCACTGTAATTGGCCTTGAGTGGGAATTGAACTCGGGTTCATAGTGCAATGCGGTCACCACGATGCTCCGCATACGGATTTAAACTAATTTTAATATGCGTCGTCAATTACAACAATCAAAATCGCAAAAGCTGCGTACAAATATGAATTATAACATTAACATTATGTTGCAAGTTTTAACAGATTTATCAGCACACCTGCGGTTCATGCCCTGCAAGTTATACCGAGGATATACCTGCTGACAATCACCTCCCTCACAATGACATGCCGTCACAGTCGTCATACTGAATACGATCCACGCTGCATTTGATTTGTGTATTGACGTTCGCTTCTCTAAAAATACTCCTTAGTGAAAACGACAAGAGAGTTGTGCCGAGGAGATGTTTCTTCACCGTGACCCTCTCGGTGCCAGACAGAGACCCACACTGACATTCGGAGGCCGTCGAAATGCAAATCGTCTTCACGCGGCACCTTCAGCAGCGGCGTACGGCTCTCGGCGGTCGTTTTTTATTTATTTATTGTGAATACGATTTCATAGCCTGGGTGTGAACGGCACCGTTAGGGTTTTGTGGTGTTGTTTGTGTGCGCGGGGTTGTAAAATGTATGTCCATGGCCTTTGATATATTGGTGCAAGTAACAAATATGAAGCAATATTTAATTTGCCAAAATTTTGGATTGTAATTTTTTTTATCGTACAAAAAAAGAAAAACCATCCCTAATCGCCTTTCTTTTCCAACCAAATTTACACAGAACCCGAAGACGAAAAGATCGCGCTGAAACGGCAACCAAAGACAGGTGACGCTGCGAGTTGCAGTGGCAATCGCGATACAAGAACCAACGGGGATGATGGGAAAACGGTGGAGATTGCGGATCCCTGGAGTGAGTGCATCCTTCGAGCACGCGGCTCGCGTGAGCAGGACATTGCAGGGCTGCGCATTTTGCCGACCGTCGATCTGCACGCTGTTCTTGCAACCAGTGAATGGATATGAGAACTTTGAAGCGACCTGATCAAAATGTTTTCCGATCTCCACCTTTCTCTTATTCATTGAACCAAAGGACTGCAAAGAGATATATAAAAGAAAGTTTATTTTTAGGCTCGTGTAAAACTGTGTAGCTGCTATCAAAAATGCTCAAATGATCACGTGTTAAAATCTTACATTTCATTGCGGTTTGGTTGGAAAAGGGCCAGATTCAATATTTTTTAAGTCAGCGCACTGTAAATGTTCGGTATAAGGCCTTCATTAATTAACGTTTCAAGGCTGTGTTATTTTATTGTCAGCTGCAGAGATGAAGCATTTTTCCTGCCGGTGCAAAAACCAAAATAGCTGTGCTGAATATTTTTGCAGGATGCTCATCGCGGAACGTTCTTACTCCCGGTATTTACTGCATCTGGCCGGATGGCTCGGTGGCAGAGTGAGCGGCTCGCAATAGGGAAGGTTGTGAGTTCAATTCATGATTGGGTGCTGACTGAGCCCATCATCTCTTTGGGGTCGATCAAATAAACACCACTTTATCCATAATAGAGGGGTTTTTTTGTGAGATCGCGTAAATATAAATGTGTCGTTAAACCCTCCACCACCCGACAGCCAATTAGTTAAGGTTTGTCACATAAACTAAACATGCCAGCTCGTGACTAGTTGAGCACACCGCTTGTGTGTTGGAGAGTAAACCCACAACATTCACAACTTGAGTACCGTGACGTTTTTCCGGTAATTACAACAACCCGCCTCATCATGCGACAACCACTTTGTGAGGAAGTCACCAGTGGTTGTCCTATGGATAGACTCGCCCCCGCCATAGGAACGTGTAGTTTCCATCACTGGCTCAGGGCTGTAGCCTGCAGATGAGCACTGCCTCAGTGCTCATTGTCGAATCCCTTTGACTCGTTTCTGATAAACATTCCTCAATCGGGCATACTAGGCCGCTGCGATGTCCATGGCTGACATTCTGAATTGTCAATTAACATTACCTAGAGTGACAACGGCGAGCCATGACAAGGGCACAAAGGAGACTTGCAGGATTACAAAACTAATTTTACAACCAATTGTAAAAAAAAATGTAATAGAACATCTAAAGAATACAAAAATAGACAAAATTACAACTAAACTACTTTTTATTTTACCAGGTAAGGCCCACTGAGCTATGTAGCTCTTTTTTTCCAGAAGCGACCTGGCCACAAATTATAACCCAACGAAGTGGCTTGTTTCGTGTAAATATTTATACCGGCAACCAAATACTGTCACTAATTTGACAATTACTTTGGCAACACAACCAGCTATATAATCAAACTTAATTAGGAGCTTTCGTGACTGCAGGAATTATTCTTTGGTTCTTTCGGTAAAGTCACGTATAAAGATAAAACAATAAATTAAATACTAGCATACGACGTTTTTATTGCAACACAAGCAATCATCAGGTATAAATTAAATAGAAACACAAATCTAGTATACTTAGAAATGTAATGTAATACAACAGAGAGTCGGATAACATAACAGTCAAGACCCTACCTGGTTGATTACGTTCTTCCTGAAAATGCTAAATTTGAGAGAGAGATAAAACACAGAACCAGAGACATATAGACAGACATATAAGCAGACAGATATCACAGAGATGCATAGAGAGAGAACAAACATAGGCACACAGAGAAATCACGCCTCTGTGTCGAGGCCTTAAATAGAGAGAGGGGGGCGGGGGTGGAGAGAGAGGGAGGGGTTAGAGGAATTAGCATGTCAATGAGTAGCACGATGAGTGGTACGGTGCGAAAGCTTGACAAACCCCTCCCTCTCTCTCCACCCCCGCCCCCCCCTCTCTATTTAAAGCCTCGACCCAGAGGCGTGATTTCTCTGTGTGCCTATGTTTGTTCTCTCTCTATGTATCTCTGTGATATCTGTCTGCTTATATGTCTGTCTATATGTCTCTGGTTCTGTGTTTTATCTCTCTCTCAAATTTAGCATTTTCAGGAAGAACGTAATCAACCAGGTAGGGTCTTGACTGTTATGTTATCCGACTCTCTGTTGTATTACATTACATTTCTAAGTATACTATATTTGTGTTTCTATTTAATTTATACCTGATGATGATTGCTTGTGTTGCAATAGAAACGTCGTATGCTAGTATTTAATTTAATTTATTATTTTAGCTATATAATCGTTGCTTTATTGCATTCAGACATTCATTCAGTCGCACAGGAGTTTTAAGTCACCAATTAAACTTAAAGGGACCAATTCATGAATATATTTTGGCCATAATTCTGCCACTCATTGGCAAAATTATGGTTATTTGACAGCAAGATGTACTCACTAGTGGGACTGTGTCCAGAACTTGCGAGGATCTGTGAGCTCCTCACACAATCCAGTCCAGTTCAACCCAGGATGGATCAGAGGCAGCCACTTGATTGTTTCAAACCGGCTCAAGATGTCCCTTTAGAGGGGTCCATGTTTCGCAAGCTTAGAGAAGGGAGGGCACAACTGTGGCTGAGAAGACCAGGAACTTCGTGTGGAGCGATAGGCCAGGTAGCTTCCATACATCGTCACACAGCCCAATTAAAATGTAATTCCACTCGACTGATTTGGAGTGAAACCTCCAACACCAAACTGGAGCTGGTCATGACCACAGTGCCCAGTTGTGGGAACTCCTTCTACACATTCGTCAAGAAAACCGTGGCTCTCAATTGGAGAAATATAAATGTAAAAATAGGTGATATTTCGGGAAATGGCAATTAGTAAAAAAATACGTTCGAACAACAATTTGTGTGCTTTTTACCACACGTTGCTTGGAGTCAATGCAGTTTAAAATAAATAGGGGTGCACTTTTCATATTCCATTCTGGAAAGTTTGGACCACCTGCCCCCATGTTATTGTTCATGTTGCGTTATTATTTGGAGGGAATACAATTTGTATCCTTTTCACGGTACATTGACTTTCGTGCTAAATTTAGAAAAAAAAATTGTTACTTTATTCTACGAACTCATCATCGTGGTATAAACACTCAATGATAGAATTTGGCCAAACATCACCAACATAGGACCACAGAGTTTCGGTAATTGTTGGCACTGGCTGCGGCTGTCTTCCCGTTTCGCACGTTTCTGAATCTTTGCAAATTACATTACATAGCATTTATTATTTTTCAAGGAAACATCACAGGTTTTTTTCATGATGGAAAGGAAATGCTTGAAGTTTTCCAGATTTTGTGGAGAGACGCATCGGCTAGAACACGTCTGTGTATCGTTTCCGGGTACATAGAGACGCAAGAGAGCGACGCGCACACAAGAGTACATTACGGCGATGACAGTTTTATGCAGCGGCAGGGTTCACATTCTTAACAGGAACCTTGTTGGGATGCTGAGATTAATAACGCTGATCTGAACGTGAATATTACAATCGTGAAATTAACACAGCCTTGGAACGCCGGTACAATTTAAAACGCTATAGACGTTGCTTATGATTCGCTGTATTTTCTATTTGGAAAATTAACCCTTTTTGCGACGTTGAACTTGTGTTATATTGCTTTATGCAACACTACACGTGGTCACACAGAAAAAGAAGAATCGTTAAGAAATATGAATCCCTGTATACAATCTTCAAGGTCTTGTTTTTATAGTTTGACCATAGACAATGCAGTTTAATTACGTACTTATATATGGATGTTCAATATTATCTTTGTATTAGTATACAGATCTTGCACTATGATATTCACATGAAGCTGACAACTTTACCGCTTGACACATGCGGCCTGCGTGAACCCTTTCACCTGCAACTGGGGCACAGAGGAGACGCGGTTGAACCGTGGCCGGCAAGTTTTGCGCCCCCTCTCCTGCGGTGGCTAAATACATGGCAGCTATTATCCAGTGGGCCACGACGGAAGTTAAAGGGCGCAAACCCTGCCCGGTCAGGCGTTCGAACAGAACCGAGCGTTTGGAGTGTGCGGTTACGTCCAAGGAGTTCACGGAATGTCATGAACCTGGCAAGAATAGAGTACTTTTTTACGTTAGATCGCGTAAATATAAATGTGCCGTTAAACCCGCCACAACCACTCGACGCAGCCAATTGGTTAAGGTTTGTCACGTAAACAGAACGTGCCAATTGGTTACGAGCTCAGCACACCAGTGTGTTGGAGAGCGAAGCCACAACATTTACATGTAGACTACCGTGACGTATTGCCGTCAATGACAACCAGCCTCGCGATCTAACGGCAAAACAAAAACGTCTTGTGCAGGTCGCGAAAGCCTACGACTACTACGTGTTAAACTAACCTGGCTGAGGTGAAAGGGTTGGCAAGAAATGTAAGATTGCTGCGAGGAAATGTTGCGAAGTGTTCGTGGAGTTGACGGCAACGTGTGCGGCGATACGTCCGCCGCAATCATTGCGGCTCCGCGCGTCTCCCCATCGCGCCACGTTGATTATGCAGCAGACCGACATTGTTGCCCGTGTATGGCATCAATGTGATAGCCTCGTTGCCTCTTTAAGAAACACATAATAAATAAATACAATCTATTGCCTTTTTGGTGCTCGTAAGTAGAAAAAGGCAGCTTGAAATTGTCCTTGCCTGCCATCTGCCTGCAGAGAGGTGGACATTTTGCAGTTTCCATATTCTCCAGATTATAAGACGCTCTGGAGAGCAAGAGGCACCCCAAACTCGTGCCCTTGTGTCAATGAAGTCGCACAAATCTGGCCGTCCACACGCACAAACACACGCGCACAAACACACGCGCACAAACACACGCGCACTCACCAGATTATCAGACGCACGCCTTTGCTTTGGTGTACAGTGGAGGGAAAACTGCACCTTATATTCTGGAGGACACGGTGTTTTGGGGAAGGAATGCTCCATCTCTGATCGTACATCGAGTCACGAGAGCCAAGGTCTTGGGTGTGTGAGAAAGAGGACAGCCCAAGCGTGCATCGTTGTGCCGGTGAACAACCTCTCCGCACATCTTACGATCGACGTCGCTGTGCTCTCAGGGGCTCGTGCACCCACCGTGTTTAAAGAGATAAACCGTTTTTAAAACATTTATTATTAAGAAAGCCTTCCCAGACTTCCCCATGCCTACATGAATTTCCATTGTCTTCGGGAAAAATTACGCAAAGGAACGAACCAATAAAGAAGTTAACCGTGTGGGAAATCCCTTTTTAACAATATGCAGTTCTTTATACGATTGTTTATTAGAACACGTGCAGTGCTGTGTACAGTGGTTGAATTGTTACATTTTTACTCCCATATGGGAGAGCTTCCACTTGCTCTTGTTGCCGGGAAGAGCAAAAGAATGCCGTCCAGGAGCAAAGTGTGTGGATCAAGAGGAGAGGGAGGCCGCGGGTTCAGAAGTAGGGCAGCAGAGTGGTGGTGCTGGACTCCCCGGACTTTGTGGTTTGGTGTCACCCAATCACACGGCGGCGCTGCTGCTGCGTGGCGAGGCCTGATGGCCGTGATGATGAATCCTCTCTCTCGAAGACAGCCATTCTTAACCTGGGGTGCACGCAACCCCTGGGGTGCGACATGCCCTTTATGGGGGTGCGAGACATGGCCAGAACTTTTTTAGAAGGTAAATCATTGAAAACACAAATTAATCACGGGCACGTGAGTTCCAACTACGTTGTTAAATCAAACCCTCTATATTAACATAAACAAAATTACGATTGACAACTAAAGGAGTGCAGGCCGCAGTAAAGGTTACGAACCACTGCTCTAAGAGAACCCTGCCATCGCTGGGATTCTTTAAAACTGTTTCAAGGAAACGGGGGGGGGGAAGGGGACAGCCGTGACGTAATGGTTCGTGCACCAAGACTCGCAACCCAGAGGTCGCCGGTTCGATCTCCTGGCGCGGTGGTTGAAACAACAACGGTGGCAAGTTTCTTAAATCACCCCCCCACCGCCGCCTCTGTCCACCCAGCAGTATAAATGGGTATACCACAGTGTGGTGGGGTAAAGTGTGCGGGCACTCCGACCTCTTACAAGACATCTAGAGGGGCTCTCTATAGCGCCCTCTAGTGGAGAGCCTTCCACCAGCGGTGGCGAGAGCGAGTCACTGCAGCGCAGCGCCCGCATCTCCCTTTACTGAGTACAGGTAACCGCGGCCCCATTGTTGACCCACAACGGATGTATCTTGGGTAATTCCAAAGATGGCACACGGGGGGTCCAAACGAGAACTATATCCCTGCACTTTGACCCCTGGCGGTGGGAGGAGAGTGAGGGGCCGTGAGTCGTGTGCGCGCGTGTGCGCGAGCGACCTTCACTTTGGTGAACACCAAATCACGGATATGGCTTGAGTGTCGGATGTTAAACAATGCATTTAATCGTTAATGTACAATTACTTGTGAGGGGGGGGGGGGGCTCTACTCAGTTATGTACAGTCTATTGTGATTACAACCACACGCAATCACATTTGACGGCGTGCGTGTGTTTGACAGATAAATCCAGCTCTGGTGATAGTCTCCGCTCATTTGGCATTATTTTTTTAAAGTATGTCGTTTTAATTTGCTTTACAAAAACAATGTAGCTCTATT